CATGTATTTTTTTTAGACTCATAAACATTTCACCTTTCATGCTGTTGTAATTAGGGCTGTTTATTTTCTAATTGTCTCTTTTTTCTTGCAGTTCTGTCCAGTTTTACATCGTCTTATTCAGTGCATAGATATTAGTATTTATTAGTTGGTTCCTCTGTCATTATGGAGTGACCCTCTTCATCCCTGTTCATGTTACTTGCTCCAAAAACTACTTTGTCTGATGTTCATATAGACACTCCAGCTCTCTCTTGACTAATACAATCCTGATAGGGTTTTTTTTTTCCCTTGCTTTTACTTTTGACCAGTTTGTATCCTTATATTTACAGGGGGCTTGTTGCAGATAGCATGGAGTTGAGTGTCACTTTTCTGTTCATTCTGAGAGTTTCTGCTTCTTGATTATAAGAGTGTGCAGACCACCGACTTTCAGTGTGAAGGCTGTCCTGCTGTCCGTGTGCCTTCCCCAGGGCGACACCTGGGCTCTATCAGGAAAGCAGATCTGAACTAACCTCACAAATGAATAAAGGCCCAGAGTTTCTTTTATGATTGCCACAGGGATTTTTATTATTTGCCTAAATTTTATATTACGTTCTTCAAGTTCATCAAAAATCCAGTTAGAATTATGTTTAAGAGTGTATTCAGTGTGCAGATTGCTTTGTGGAGAAGTTATCTTTATAATAGGATGTCTCTCCCCACTGGGGCACAAAGTTTCCTCTGTTCACTCATGTAAGCTAGCGTGCCCTTTATTAGGGTTTTTATGCTCCCCCACTGGGGCCTTGTAACTGAGCAGTGGGCCCTCGGTCACTTCTGGGACTGTGTCCCTGGGCTCCTCCCATTAATCGTGTTCCCTAATTACATTGCTGTTTGTTTTGTATTTATATTTTTGGATTCTGTACCATAGCCCAACTGCAATGGTCTGCTATCGTCTCTGTTGGTTTTTCCAGATATGCTGTAACATTTACAAATATGGTTTTCTGTTAAAAAAAAAAAAAGAAGTAATAATGTTGATGGGCTCCCTCCCCACTTCCCCCACCCCCGCCAGCCCCAAAGTGTTATCTCCTGTGACTCTGAGAACTTAGTGTTTCTGTCTGTGGGAGGAAGAGCCTCTGGAGGAACTGAGATTTGGCCCTTGGTGGACTCACCTTTATAAATCCTGTTCCTGTGAATGACACAGAATATATCAAGTAGTGGAATAACCTTTGTGATTTAGAGGAAGAACTGAATGACCAACCTTCCCCTGACTCATTGTCTCTGAAATTAGACTATCAGTGTTCTTTTGTGTGGTGTCCCTTCCTATCCTAAACCTTTCTGTGTTCTGCCAGAGTGCAGTTCCCTCATGGCGTGAATGTCTTATTACTTCCCCGCTCTGGACGTGAATGTCACAGACACAGAAAGGCTTCATGATACTGCTGAATCGCAGGAATTTCCCACAAGGTTGCTTGCTTCTCAAGCCGGTGTGGTTTGCATCTAATTCAGTAAATTTAGCACTCCGGAGAGGAGCATCTGCGCGGCTGATTTTAAGTACTGAAAGTAGGAGTATGGAGCAAGCTGTGAAAGCAGGTGCTTCCTAATATTACAGAGTCTGTCCATGCCCCACACGGCCGTGTGCATCACGTACGTGCACACCCGCATGCATGGTAACCACACAGGCCCAAAGCAGGGAGAAGATTCACCCTCTTTCTCCAAGGCATGGGCAGGTTTTTTTGGTGCACAGTTCCTGCTTCTGGGGAGGAAGAGCGCCGGGAGCCTGTCCCCACCCAGCCCTGCCGCCCTGGCCACGTAGCCTGATCCTGGCCATGTCCACACCTCAGGGTGTGCGAAGCTCAGCATGTGTGAGCTGAGAGGGTATAATGGGTCCATCTGGTCCATCCGACCTATGGTACAAACAAGGTTCCCTCGGTTTCTGTGGCCCGAGGATGACAATGACCACCTTCCGTGGTGCTCGTGGCCGCACAGCTTGGCAGCCCCTCCTGACAGCGCTCAGCTGGCCTGACTCTGAAGCTCTTGGCGCTCAGAATTACTGAAACCCAAAAATAATTTGAGATGGCATGCCATTTGCCTTCTGCTCTCTTTTCCAAATGTTAGTTTTATACAGTTATTTCCAGAGACGAGCATTGAATCAATGCAATGTACTGTGGTAGGAAAGGTGGGTAGAAGCTCCAGCGGGAGATTATTTTGTCATGTGAAAGGGATGACTTCGTATCAATCCGAGGTGGCTAAGAGAAGACTTCCTGGGTCTGAGGGGTCCTTCAAGGATGCTGAAAAGAGGATTATTGCCTTAAAAGCAAGGCGGTCCAGCACCCCTGCAGACTCCCGACTCCGGAGCTGCTGGGATTTGGTGCCCATGCAGGCGCTGGGGACGGGCCGTAGGTGACCCCACACCGCGGTCTGAGCTTCAGCTTGAAGCTGGGACAGTAGCTTCACTGCTGGTCGACTCTAACCAGTTTACTAAGAATCTTAACTAAGCAGATGTGTCAGAGTTCAGTCAGAGAAACGACCAGTAAGAGAGAGAAACAGAGACAGCCTGAGAGATGATTTCCAGGAACTCCCTGGGGCAGGAGCTGAGGCTGCCCCGACAGGGGGATTTTCTTCCTCCTCGGGGGAGAAACCACAGTCCTGCTCTTCTGACTTTCCAGCTGAGTGGATGAGGCCACCCATGTCCTCCGGGTACTCTCCTGTGCCTAAAGCCAGCCGGTGGCAGATGCTGACCACGGCTACAAATACCTTCCCGAGTGATGCTCAGATGAGTGCTTGATAACGGGGCGCTCCCGGGCTAGCCATGACCCCTCAGACCTTGCTTCCCTGCCCCTGCGTAGTCTCCGTGGGGACAGCTGCCCCACCTGGTGTAACGCGTCAATCCCCGAGGGCCGCCTGGCCAGCGAGGGACCTGCCAGGGGGCAGCCGCCACCCTCATGCGTGCTCCCTTCCCGGGTGGGCCTCAGTCTCTGAGAGAGGCGGGCGTAGCATGCATCCACCTGGCTGTCTTCAAGGCACCCTCCCGTCTTGGGGTAACTGTCTTGACACCCCCAGCCATTTGGCTTTGAGGGAAAGGGTAGCAAACCCAGCGCAGGAAGGCCACACGCCCACGCGGGCCCCAGGCTCCATCTGACTCCACTCTCCGCACTTCCCTAGCCCTGGAGGGAGGGCTGAGGGCCCGGGGAGACGGGGCGGCCTGCTGCCCCTCGCCCGCCTGTGGCCTTTCCTTGGCGAGGGAGCTCCTGCTGTCTCCTTGTTCTCTTCCATGGGCTTTGGGATCAGGGTGCCAGGAGAGCCCCTGCTGCCCCATCCCCCGGGGGCCAGTGACAGGACGTGCCTCCCGTACCTCGCAGCACCTGTCACCTCCGTTGCTTAGTCACCTGTCACTTGGGAGGCCTCTTCCAGGACCCTGTTCATAGCTTCCAGACCTTGTTTACTTTCTATGTATGTTTTTGGAGTATTATTCTTGGTTTTACAAAAGGATTTTTTTTACTTGTTTCTGGATTTCCTTTTTTTTTTTCCAGTACCTTCCATTCCTTTATTTTTTTTTTTTTAAGATTTTATTTATTCATGAGAGACGCACAGAGAGAGGCAGAGACACAGGCAGAGGGAGAAGCAGGCTCCATGCAAGGAGCCTGACGTGGGACTCGATCCTGGGTCTCCAGGATCACACCCTGGGCTGAAGGCAGGCGCTAAACCACTGAGCCATGCAGGGATCCCTGGTACCCTCCATTCCTGTTCTCTCTCAGCCCCATTGCTGTGATTCCTTGCATCCACTCCTCCTCTTGAACAGCACAGACCACAGATATTTGAGGCTCGGGGCTTTCATAGCTGATGGTGTAAAATGGGAGCATTTTCCTTCCCAGAACATGATGTTAGGGGCTCAGAGTTCACCGTCAGTAACAGCCAAGACCAGAAGAAACAACGGATGACCTTGAGATTTAGCTCAGTCTCTACGAGACTGGTCACCTGAGCAGCAGGTTTGCCCTGGACTGTCCGCAGCTACCTCCCACTCGTTGTCATGGAGCTGGGTCTTACCTTGCCTGGCAGGTGTTTGGATTTTGTGCTTTGGGGGGTGAGGGGGCGGAGGCCTTGCTTTGATTATCTGTGAGAGCCAGTCAGCAGAGCCCAGGCCTGTAACCCACCTACGGCAGGTACAGAGCTTCCGTAAGGTAGCTAATCACATTTAAACTTACTACAAAAGAAGAATAAGTTATAAATTGATGATATACAAAAACTAAACATTTATATCACAAATTTATCAGTATATGTTATGCTTTATTTAGAAATTAACCATGTGAGAAAAAAAATAAATTAACCATGTGGACATTAAAGTATACCTGTGCTCCAGAGAATTCTAGGTTTTATGTAGAAACACCTGTAAAACACTGACTTTTATGAAGTTGGAAATAAATGGAGCATAGAGTGGGAGAAGGTGGTGAAGGACAATATAAAAGAAAGGCAGGTAGCAAGTTGTCGAGGAGGTCATTCACATTCTCAAGAAATCTCTTCCGAAGTCATTTCCTTGTGAGTCCAGAGAGACTAAGGCCATGAGCGTCCCGCCCTGGGCACACGGCCGGCTGCCCTCTGATGGTTCTCTCGGTGCTGAATGCAGGCACTTCTGGGGCAGGAGACCAGTTCTTTAATCTCTGCTGCTTCCTGCTCAAGCCCATCCTTTTCTTCCCAGCACTACACCCGCCTCCTTGCTCTGCACTTACTGGGCACAGTGAACTCATCGCTGCCCCCCAGCACTGGTTGGTGCTGGTTGTCCATGAGTCTGGCAGCTCAGAGTCGAGCAGGAGTCTCGGTGGCCATCTGTGCCAGGTTTCCTGTTGCAGCTTTGACCCACTCTCGGGGATCCACACTGCTTCTGAATCTTCAGAATAAGGACGAGCCAGATAACCACTGGGAGCAGCTGTTGTTAGAATTTAAATGATTTCTCTTAATGGTCTTTTTTTTTTTTTTGTAATGTTTTCTGTAAATATCTTGAATGTCCTGGTTATAATTCAAGAATATGTGGATTTTAGTTTGCAGTTAACATGTTTCGAACGTTACCACCTTCCTCCAATCCTACGGGAGCAGAATTTGACCCCGAGGAAGACGAGCCCACGTTAGAAGCAGCCTGGCCTCATCTACAGGTACTGAACTCTGGGAGTGCCCCAGCAACAGGGGCGTGAGTTGAGTGTGTGCATTCTCAGGGTTTTTTCTCTAAAGCGAGTGAACTGGCCCTAGGGCCTCACTCCAGCTGATTGCAGGTGGACCGCTGACCTTGCAAACCTGTGCAGATAAGAAAGGTATTTTGAGAAGTGAGAACATTGAATGGGTCTTTTTGTCTATTTGGAATTGTCAATGTGTTTGTAATGAAAGTGACCCCTTTGTTGATAGCCATCAAATCGAGGCCTTTTGCAGATAGATGCTTCCCTAGTTTTCAGCACTTAGATTTAACACACCCAAAGGCTCACCTGCTGACTCACCTTTTTCTGACACATTTGTAAAGTAGAAATTGCTCATAGATCAGGCTGGATGCCTGAGAAGACACTGAGCTCAGCATGAGCAGAGTGTGCACAAGCCATGCACCACCTTGGGGCCTGGGTCATCCACAGGAGGGGAGATGGAGAGGTGAAAGTTGGGAACGAGCTAGATGGGGACCCAATTACAAAGGGGGGGCTATCTTCGGGACAGAACATCCCCCAAGGCATGTGGGATTGCTGTGTAACCGTGACAGCATACAGCCCACTCATGAAGGGGAGGAGCATCCCAGCCCCGGGTGACTGTCTGTGACCCGCTCACCAAGCAGTCCCAGCTTCCTGTCCCCCAGGCCCTGGCAGGACACGTGCTCATGGTGGGCTGCAGATCCCGCCGCTCACTGTCGTCTCCCAGCCACGTCAGTTAGGTGCCAGTGACCCCAGCCATGGGTATCATTTCGTTTAAATGCCGGTTAAGGGCATAGTCCGTGGTTCTGAGCTAAATAAAACAATTACCATCATCAATTATAATTAAATTAAGCCATGGTATTTGGTATTAATTCTGTAGATAAGCGGCTTTTTTTTTAAGGCTAATATTTTCAGAGATTCAACTCGTGGTGTACTTTTAGTCTCCATCTAATAAAATACCATATTATTTGACTCATTGTTGTTTTTTTTTTCCTCCTAGCTTGTTTATGAATTTTTCTTAAGATTTTTAGAGTCTCCAGATTTCCAACCTAATATAGCGAAGAAATATATTGATCAGAAGTTTGTATTGCAGGTAAGGTACAAATTAGCTGAAGCTACGAAAGTCCTAATCTGCAGAGCAGGAATACTGATCCACTAAGTGTCTTTTTCTTCTTGAAGCTTTTAGAGCTCTTTGACAGTGAAGATCCTCGGGAGAGAGATTTTCTTAAAACTACCCTACACAGAATCTATGGAAAATTCTTAGGCTTAAGAGCTTACATCAGAAAACAGATAAATAATATATTTTATAGGTAAGTCAGCGTGTGGGTGACATTTCTCTCTTTGCATGATGACGATCGCGATCTTACTCAGTGCCCCCTACCCCATCATTCCCTCTTTGCTCGCTCCCCTCCCTCACCAACCCAGCACCTCTGCACACGTCCTTCCTCTGTTTCCATTTTCACCCAGCTGTCCCGTTACCCTGGGTGTGGGGCCATCCAGAACCTGTCCAAAGCCAGCTGTCACTCCTTTCAACTGCGAGTTACTTCATCCTCCCCGATAGCATCTCAGAGAGAAGGCAGGAGTGGGGAGCAAAGTGGGGACCCTTAGAAATGCTCACAGGCTGGAGAACCACACTAGAGGTCTGGAAACCCTGGCGTCCCAGGCCTGCAGGACTGCAGAGACTGGTCCGTCTGGGGAGCTAGGTGCAGAAGTTGCCCTGTCTGGGTTTCTGTGGAAGAGGGCACAGCCCCATGGCTCATGAGAGGATGTTCTGTGGCATTCCAAGTGCAATATTCACCTTAAGCCCGCGCCCCCGCCCCCCGGTCCTGGCCACCGCCTCTCATTGATTCTTAAGATCTGAACACCCTTCCACCCACCCGCTGACATCTGCACGGTTCTGCTGCTGTCTGAGTCACCCGGGGTGACTAGCCATGCTTGGATGGATGAGCCCCACCCCTGGGCGCTGCCGTGTGTGGGTGTGTGGGTCCGGGCGGGCCTTCTCACTTGAGTCTCTGCTCATCTCCAGGCTCCTTACCCACTAGTGCCTCCCAGAACATTCTTACCAGCTGCCCTTCTCCACAGCCTCGCAGGCTTCTAGACACACCCCCTCCCCAGAAAGCCTCCCTGGCTTGGCAGGCAGGTCTCCCTCTGGGGCAGGCATTGTGCTAGCGGCTTTATCACACTTCCAGTGACCGCTTTGCACCTGGCCTGTGGTGGTACCAAAAGAATGTTGATGAATGAAAGACTTAATGTTTCTTATCTGTCCCTGGAAAGTTTGCTATGAGCAGTTTACTCCAAGAATTTGGGCTTGCCTGGGTCATCTTGCCCTTGAAGGCCCTGATTCCAGGATGGCTAAGGTAGTGAAAATCCTAGCAGTGACAGGTCCCCTTGTGAAAGCAGGTGGGTTTCACCCAGTCTAGCCATAGAGCCGGAGGGAGAGTGACATGCAGGATCGCCAGGAGCACCACAGAGCCCAGGTGGTTCCCTTCTTAGGCATCATGACCCAGCAAGGGAGACAGGGGAGGTGAGACAGATGGAGACACATGGGTGTGGGAAATAAGATCCCGCCACGGAGACCAGCAGCCTCTGGGGATTCTAGAAGCCGTCCCTCTCATCCTCGGCGTCCCCTACCCTGCCCTCCGCAGTCATCGGGGCATCTGCTCCTCTCTCTCATCTTCACACTTGATATGACATCCAGTGTTAGAGCTGCCAGTTCCTTTGAACCCGTTCCAAGTCCCCCACATCCCAGGACTGGGCACCACATATGATCAGAGAAGGACATCCCGTTTCCTGGGTGTTGTGTTCCCCAGTTCATGCTTGTTGGTATCATGATTCCTTTTGAACGAGATCATTACGTGGCAGCAGTTTTTATCAAAACATTCTATACATTATTTAAACAGCAAAGAACAGGTACAGTTTAAATAGCCTTTTAGGCCTAAAATTAAAGCTCTACGTAAAGTGAGGTTTTGTTCGTCAAAATATAGGTTTTGTTCAGATCACAGAATCACAAATCATGAAGAACCTCAATAGAGTAACTAAAATATTTAAATTATTTAGAAGTGATTGCACATAGTTTAGTTTGTTCTCACTGAGCGCCCAGTGCTGGAGGGTGGCGCTTTTGTGTTTTAGCGATCTTTTCTCTATCATTCGTGATCTGTGCAATCAAAACCAAACATGTTACATGGATCTAGTAGTTGATTTAGTCTCCACCTTCCACACCACTCATATCATGCAGAAAGGAGGTAAGGAGAAAAACCGTGAGAGAAGTACCCCGCTCATCGACATTCGTGGCACGACCCCATCCGTAAGAAAAGATAACTCCAACCTGTCCGGTCCATCTCATCAATAACGTCAACATAAAGTCCCTGTTTGTGAAGTTTCTCCTTCTAATGAGCGTGTTCAAGGTGTGAGATACACAGAGATCTGCACCGTTGATAACCCAGCCATGGTGAGCTGGAGCCCAGGTGGATGGGGCGGACCAGGGCTTCAGATCCATCTGCGTAACAGACGGCCCCACCCCGTAGCCACTGCAGTCAGCAACCACGGATCACTGACCGCAGTTCTGTAATCGGAACTGGACTCTGGGCAGTTCTGCTGCCCCACGTGGTCTGCGGGGGCTGCCCCACGGTGGCTCAGGGCAGGTCCTCAGCCGGCTTTCAGGACCCACCAGTCCTCTGCGAGGCTCGGCCCATCTCTGGCACAGACCCGCTTCTACCTTCTGTGCTGATAAAAGCTGCTCACAGGAAGACAGAGCCACAGGGAGGGAGACCGATTCCACCTCTCCCCGTGAGGCTCAGGGCACATCCCACCAGGAGGAAAGGTATCGATCGTGTCTTTTTTGGAGACTGTCTCCAGAAGCAGGTTCTGGCTCCATTTTTAGAGAGTCCCAATCCCTTTTTTGCTGGAAGAGTGAGAAACTAGACTATTCTCCATGCGTCTTTATGGCTTTCAACCCATTCTGCACCTTCTTCTCTTTCCTCTTTTGGAAAAAGTAAGGAGAACTATGCCTGTTTTCTCTTTTTTAGATCTGCTTCAAATCAGGTCAAAATAATTAGAAACAAAGAATTTATCATGCCAATCCAAGGGGCACCTGCACCCCCATCCTCATAGTAGCAATATCCACAATAGCCAAATTATGGAACGAGCCCAGATGTCCACTGACAGATGAAGGGATAAAGAAGATGTGGTGTATATATACAATGGAATAGTACTCATCCAGCAGAAAAATGAAATCTAGCCATTTGCAATGATGTGGGTGGAACTAGAGGGTATGATGCTGAGCGACGTAAGTCAGTCTGAGAAAGACAATTATAGGATTTCACTCATGCGGAATTTAAGAAACAAAACAGAGAAGCATAGAGAAAGGAAGGAAAAAAAAGATAACAGAGAGGGAGACAAACCATAAGAGACTCTTAACTCTAGGAAACAAACAGGGTTGCTGGAGGGGAGGCGGGCGGGAGGATGGAGTAACTGGGTGATGGGCACTAAGGAAGGCACATGATGTAATGAGCACTGGGGGTTTTATACAACTGATAAATCACTGGATTCTACCCCTGAAACCAATACTACACGCTGTACTAACTTGAATTTAAAAAAAAAAAAAAAAAAACCCTGTTGAAAAGAGAGAAACAAATCTATCAGTAAGACTATAGTCCTGCTGATTTAGGAAAACAAAATGGCTTAGAGCTGAAGGCCGTCCTTGTTCGAATGGGAGCACTGGAGCGTCTAGATCCCGAGCGGGGCGGAGGCCCAGAGCCCAGCCCCGAGGTCTCCGCGTGCCCTCCAGGCTGCCGACGAGGGGAGCGGTGACTCAGGCGGCGTGGCTGCACTCTATACAGAGCTATAACTTGGCACATGGAAACAGAAAACGCGCGATGCACAAGGGAGCCCTCAGGTTGAGTTTCATAAATTAAAGTGTTTCTCAGAGCAAAGGCACCATGGAGGGGTGGGGACTCCTTGGTGCCAGCTTCCCGTCTCCAGGCAGGTGCAGTGTGGAGGGCAGCGGGGAGCCGAGGGGCCCCGTCACCTGCAGTACAACCACACCGCCCGTTTCTCTCCACCCGGGTGCCCGGGGCCATCTGGGTGACCCCACCTCACCCTGGTGCATGGCCAGACTCGTCTCTGTGGCACGGTGGTTCTCTGTTCCGGTGGTCGCAGCAGACCCGTGTGACACCCCCCTGCGTGTCTGCCTCACGGCCTGCTCCCCGCTGCGTTTTGCAGACCTCCTCTCCAGCCCTGCCCTCCTCCTCCTCCTCCTCCTCCACACCACCCACACATCTTTCAGACCCTCCGAGAACGTAGAGGTCTTAAGGCCCACCCTTTGGGAATATTTCACATCCTCTAGATTGTTTGACCTCTTCTTTACCTTGAGGTCTCCATTCCATTGTTGCAAACGTGGACAACGACACTTCAGAGTCAGATTTTTTTTTTTTTAATCATCACAAACTCTTATTTTTGGCTTAGAGCAGACTCTTAAACTGCTCGTTGTTGGCCGAAAGGCAGAAGCCTTTTTCAGACACCACTGACGTCAGGCAGGCACCCGTGCCTTGGTTGGGGCGGACTTCAGGCAAGCGAGGTGTGGGCAGGAGTGGGCTCCTGGCTTCTGAGGAAATCCTCGGGGAAGGGAGAGACCGCCCTGCTCGGTGTCCCTGTTCCCTCTCATCGTCGCCAGCCTGTCAACACATGTGTTGCAAGCACAGGACAGATGCCAGCCCCAGTCCTAGCACTGGGGACACAGTGACCAAAAGTCCTAGCCCTGTCCTCAGGCTGACCTCGGGCACAGCAGATGCTGCAAGGGCCCCAAGGAGCCCACCAGGCGGGCACAGCAAAGAGGCTTCTCCAAGGACACAAATAGGCTGCTCATATTGGGGATTCTGGGAGGTGGTGCTTGAAGCCACGTGGGGGCCTTGCAGGGTGTCTGTGAGGCAGTAGGCAGGACGGCCCGAGTGGGAAGGAAAGAACTTCTGCCCTTGCACACACTGGGCAAGTGGAGGCTTTAAAATGGAGTCAGGCGTCAACTTAGGTTGGCACAGAGCAAAACAGGCCTGAGGGATGGGTCGCGGGATGTACATGTGCTGGGGCAGACGGCAAATCCCTCGTCATCACATCTGAGCGGCTCAAGTACAGGTGTTCACGGTGCAAACCTTGCAGCCTTTCTCTGGTTGAAACCTTCCAAAATGTTGGGGGGGGGGGATTTGAGCAGTCCCGTGCACTCTGGCCTCCGGGTCTTCACACCCCCCAACTGTGAGGACTCCTATTACTGAGGATGACCAGGTAGGGGTACCTGTGGCTCCCCCCACCCAAGCACACAGTTTCCTTAGAGGATTTAAGTCTCTTCAGCTCTTCTTTCAGTGTCTAATTCTAAATGGCAAATTGTTTCTTCTAGGTTTATTTATGAAACAGAGCATCACAACGGCATAGCAGAATTACTGGAAATCTTGGGGAGGTGAGTCGTCTCTGTTGCTGGCAGCGAGGGGAGTTGATTTCAGGATGCTCCAGTTCACTGAGTCCGGCAGCCCTCCCCAGAGCGAGGAAAATTGAAACCATTTCCAAAGGAACTAAGATCTCACTTGATGGAAGGGGTTGGTGAGGTCTAGGGTCAAAAGCCACGGATAGGAAACCCTCCTGTGTGCCTGGCTCCACGCACAGATTCTGTTTCACACACCTCATCCAAGACCGTTACCTTGAGAAGGTTTATGTTGACACCTAGAAGAGTGGATCATTTATCCTACATTGGGAGTATTGAGTAAATGCTAATATTTCATGTTGCTTGGATTTTATAAACTTTTCATATCTGTACTTAACAATAATAGACATTTCAAAAATTTCGCCATCTTCATCCAAGTGAAATGCTTGCTGTCATTTTTTTTAAATCAGTGACCCATGACGTTTTGTTTTGTTTTGTTTTTAAGATTTTATTTATTTATTCACGACAGACACAGAGAGAGAGAGAGAGGCAGAGACACAGGCAGAGGGAGAAGCAGGCTCCATCAGGGAGCCTGACGTGGGACTCGATCCCGGGTCTCCAGGACCATACCCCAGGCTGAAGGCGGCACCAAACCACTGGGCCATCGGGACTGCCCGACCCATGGATTTTATATCAGACTTCCAGCCCTCTGTTCCCGGGGTTCCACAGCTGAAAAGCTTGGAAGGCTCTCTCCCAGCACCTTCCTTGGGGATTGAGCTGCATTAGCAGCTAAAAGGTTCCGAGGGACCTGCAGAGAGGGCACCTCTCTACATCCCCAAAGCTTTGGGAACACAAGCCTCTCTCAGGCAACAGTGTTGTCATCTGGTCGATCTGTGCTCCAGTGGTGAGAAAACTGTCCTTGCTATTTTAGATATAATTTGAAAAAACCGTTAGTCCTCGTGGAGAATTCTACGTTGACCAGTTTTGGCACACTCAGCGGGTTTCTCCCGCTCAGTAGAGCGTGGTGAGCGGTCAAGGGCCCTTCCTAGGTGTATGACCTCCCGTAACTACTCTTGGCTGCTGTTTTCTTAGTAAGAGGGGGAGGGATCCACTCACCTCCTAAGAGTCGAGGAGGGTGTGCGACCGTGTGAAGCGTCCGTGCAGCCTGGCATGTCACACACAGGCAACTCTGGGCTCCCTGCTGCTAGGATCGATAATTTTATCCTTTCAGAAGAGGTGTTTGACCTTGACGGTCTCCCCCGATGTGAATGAGCAGGCCACCCCTGGTGCCCACCTCAGACAACCCCTGCCTGCAGCACTCCTGTGCCCAAGGCCCCTGGATGGTGCGGGTCCGTCTAGAAATTGCCTTAACTGCTCTGTAGCTCTAACACGTGTCTGTGCTTGCCGAATAATAAAACCAAATAGTAAGAAAGCCCACTTGCCCAACTGATAAACCAGTAGATAAACTACTTGACGTTAGAGACAAAGCTTCAGTTTGGAGTCCAGGAATAAGACCCCCTTTCTATGTAGAAGGGAGCAGCTTCCTGGCTGATTCTCACCCAGCTCCCACTTGGACACTTGGACTCTATCCATCCCACCAGCATTAGAATAACAAGCCCGAATCTCTCCAGGGAAGCGTGAATTCCTAAAAATAGGCAAAGGTCAAGGGAAGGTGCCGGGTGTGGACAGCCCACCCGTGGAGCGGGGCGGGGACCCCACCTGAGCCTCCCGGCCTCCTCCGCCTGTCTAAAGGAGGCTTTGCCCCCGGGGTCATGCTCTTCTGGGTAATGCCCTGCAAACCCAGAGTTTTAGAATTATCTTACACTTAAAGAAAGAAATGACAATGCTTCTTGGAAGGTTTTTAATTTTCTTTTTAGTTTCCACTAATATGCTCCTCTTTTGTGCAACGTACATTTTGCTTACTGATTTTTTTATGCTGGAAAAAAAAGGCAAGTTTTTTTTTTTAATCTGGAAGTTGTAAATATTCAAACTTTGAATAAATTCTGTTTTCACAGTATAATTAATGGATTTGCCTTACCACTAAAAGAAGAGCACAAGATTTTCTTACTGAAGGTGTTGCTACCTTTGCACAAAGTGAAATCTCTGAGTGTCTACCATCCACAGGTAAGGGGTGCTCTGCAGGACACGTAGGTGGGGACGTGCGCTAGCATGGCATCTCCGTGTGAGCATTGGTCTAAGACACAGAATTCCACCCTGTTACCTGGGAGCAGGTCTTTGTCGTGTCCCATTGCTGATGTAGGTTCTGGTGCTAATTGAAAGCATACAGGGGTAAAGAAATTCCCTTTTAAGAAGATCAGAAAACTCTCAGGAATGGAGAATTTCAGAATTAGTTCTAAACACAGAGAAGAGGGTGACTCACTTGATGCCCTGCGTCAAGAGATCTCAGAGGAAAAAAAAAAAAAGAGAGATCTCACAGGAAGCTTTCTGTTGTGGGATTTAAAATCTGACTCCTTTAGGAAACTGAGTGGGGAAAAATCAGAGAGGAAGACAAACCGTGAGAGACTTCTGACTCTGGGAAACAAAGACCCCATTGCAGGAGGCGAGGGTGTTGGATGGGGTGACTGGGTGACAAGCACTAGGAGGGCACTTGATGGGATGAGCGCTGGGTGATAGACTATATGCTGGCAAATTGAATTTAAATAATTTTTTAAAAAACATAAAATCTGGCTCCTTTAAGAAAAAGCCTCTCTATGTCTGTGGCCAATGACATGGTCTAAGAAAAAGGTGGTTTTTTTGTTGTTTTTTTGTTTTGTTTTTTTTTCTTTTTTTTGTTTTTTTTTTTTAAGTAAACTGTGGGCTTTCTGCAGTTGTGGAAATCTAATGACAGTTACCCTGAAAATTTGGCCAGTGAGTGATTACTACCTGGTCAGGCGGCTGCACGGACTCGGGAGACGTGGCCTCCCCTTCACTCTTGCACTTGTGAGCCCTGCACGGACAGGTGCTGAGTGTCGGGGACAGGGCGGCCCCCAGCTGCGGTCCGGTCCCCTGCGTGATCGCTGGGGGTCTGAGCAGGTGCAGGCCCGACAGCCAGCGGGCACAACACGAGTCACAGGAAGTGAATTCTTTATGTGATAATAAGGACGTTGGCTTCCTGGGACGTGTTTTACTTTGAGGTGGGTTTTTTTTTTTTTTCCACCTCCTTTTGCTGTTAACCTGGTGATCGTAGCTTTACATCTAGCCAGATCGTTATCTCAGCTGTTCAGTGGTTTAAGGTGGAACCAGATTTTAATTTGGTTTTTCCCCAGCTGTTAGATTCCTCGTTCATTGTATTCTCTAAAATAATCGTGAGGGAAATCCCCTTCAAACCCGGGCTGACCTGTCGATGTTAAGCCCAGAAGACCGTTTGCTGATATTTTTAGCTGTTGGACCTGGTCCCTGAGAGTCCCCCTGAGAGCCCCAGAGGATGCGGAGGGCGCGGGGGCAGCACAGGGCACCAGGAGGCAGAGCAGCGCTGCCGTGTTAAAGCGAAATGCTAATACCTCCTCTCCGTGCACTTTGCAGCTGGCGTACTGTGTAGTGCAGTTTCTAGAAAAGGACAGCACCCTCACTGAACCGGTGAGTACGCGCCCCGGCCGGGGCCTGGCCCTGCTGCCAGCACGCCGCAGGATGTGGCGCATGGGCGTCCCCAAACGGCAGTGTCACCGCAGCTCTGCTGGCCGAGTAGTGGTTGAAACCACTTTTTCACCTTAAGTCACACAACTGATAAACACGCCGGTGTCCCTCGCGTGTTAGGTGTTTTTCAGAGTGTGGTCACTTGAGTTACACGTTCCTCTACTGCGGGGATGACGTTACGCCGTCAGACTCGGAGTGGCCGCGGCCGCCGGATGGCGTGCCCTTGAGCACTTTCCCTTCTTGGTTTAAGGACACGCAGCTCTCTTGGGTCCTGCCGGTTGAGGTGACCTGTGACCTTTCCTCCAGGCCCGGGGCTAGCTGCTTTGTGATCACCGCGTCGCCAGTGCCAGGTTGCTGCCGTGGAGCGTGTAGATTTCCAGATTTCTTGGCGTATCACGTTTATTAGAAGTAAAAGGCTATTGTGGCCTAGATGAACCAGGTGGAGCGTGCCGGGGGCCAGGTTAAACATTTGAATATACTTTTTTTTTTTCAAATAGCTTTATTCAGTTATAATTCACATACCCCACAATTTACCCATTTAAAATGGACAACTCAGTGGCTTTTCGGTATATGATGTTATTTTAATTGTGCTTAAGTACACGTCACATAAAATTTGTCATTTTCAATGTACAGGTGAGTGGCATTAACTACATCCCAGTGCTCCGCAGCTGACACCACTATTCCCAGAGCTTTGTCACCCCAGACAGAAGGTCTGCACCCACAGACCCTGACTCCCACTTCCCCTCTGCCCACCCCAGGACCGCTCACCTGCTCTGTCTCTGCTGAGTTTGCCTCCTTGGGGCACCAGGCATGGGTGGAAACGTGCAGGATGTCCTCAGGGTTCAGACAGGCCACGCCCGTGTCAGAGCTCCATCCCTGGATGTGGCTGGATAGACTCCCTGGTGTGTGGTTCACACGCTCCCGTCAGTGAACGCTGGGGCTGCTTCCACCCCTGTGAATAGTGCAAATAATGCAGCTGTGAATGTGGGCATGCAGGTGTCTACGCCAGTCCCTGCTCTTGGAACTGCTGGATCCGCTGGTGATCCTGTGTTTGGCTTCGTGAGGAGCTGCCCCTCTAACCTCCACAGCAGCTGCACAGGGACCCCGCGTTCTCCACATCCTCGCCAACACCTGGTATTGTCCCTTGGTCTGTTCTAGCCTCCAGTGAGTGTGCACAGGCATCTCTTAGGGGCTTTTTGATTTGCATTTCCCTCATGGCTAAAGATGTTGGGCATCTCTTCATCTTTTCATGGCCTGTTGGCCACCTGTGTGTCTGTGGACAAACATCTTCAGATCCACTGCCTTTTTTTTTTTTTTTTTTAATCAGCTAGGCTGTTTTTTACTGTTGAGTAACAAAGTAAGAAGTCCTGAGTCACTTTCGGTGTTTGAGCTGTTGTTTTTTAAGTTACTGTTGGAATAAAAAAGGCAGATGTCATTCCAGCATCTCTCTGTCCCCCTGGCCGCCTTCCACAGCGGTCCTGTGAGGTTGTGAGTCTTACAGTGGAAATACGTGAGGAATCCTTAATGCTCTGTATCTGATCTCTGCTGAACTCCGTGCATGGACACCCCAAGTCACTCACCCAGGAACCGCCACGTCCCCCAGCACCTGCCCCACTCCCCTCCCCGGGGTCCCCACATGCCTCTGCTTCGGCTCTGAGATTCTGGAAGCTTCAACCCCCAGGAAAGGCACCAAACTTACCAGTCTTGAGTATCAAACCTGGAGTGTTTACTCCCGGTAGGTAGGGTTCTCTTTATTCCCCTGACTAAACTGGAGACGCATCTAGGTGGGGAAGGACACCTGAGGTGGCCTCAATGGTCCCGTAGCTCCACACTAACGGGTGAGAAGCGTTACCAGAGATGGTAGTGTGGGAACAGATTTGCACACACCCTGCCTTTGCCTACCTCAGAACTAAAAGGGAAAGGAAAACATGGAAGGAGAGAAAACGCATGCACTTTTCTTCATGACTGTCCTCAGTGTGTATTTCTCACACTCCCCAGGCTCCAGAATCCACCAGACGTGGGGCTGCGTTTACCCCAGGCCAGGCCCCCACGGTAGTGCCCTGGTCCCCAGCTGGGTCCGTCCCAGCCCGAGTCCCAATCCTGTCCCAGCTCACCTCTGTGCCATCCTTCACCTGGGAGTAATGTGAAGGCCCACAGAGGTTTGCAGGAGCGGGAGCCCTTGGCCACACTAATCCGATGGGAGGAGCGAGGTGGCTGCTGGCTTCCACCAGGCCCTTCCATCCTCGATGGGAACCTCTAAGGTGGCACAGGCAGAGAAGCTTCAGGCCCCCGCACACCCACCCTCCCAGGATCTCCACCCAGATTCGCTTCCTGAATCTCCTGCAGCCCAGACAACAGGCGGGTGCTCTCTTGACCAGCAGGTTTTATTTTCTGCACATTAAAAATGTTCAGACCCCCGCCTTGGTGAACTCCTTCCTTTGAAATCCCCGTATCACGAAAATACAGAGGCTGGTCTGTCTCCCTTCAGCATTGAAAGCTTGTCGATGATTAGACGAATGGGGTAAAGTCCTGTGAAGGTGAGTGTCCCCCGGCAGCGCTAAGGAGGACGCGGCACATGCGTGGCTCTCAGGGTCCTGGACCCAAGGCTCTCCAGAAGCCAGTATGGCCAAGGTCAGGAATGTTTAAAGTACGGTCCGTTTAAAAGACCTGCATCCTTCCCGTTTAAGGTCTGCAATTAATATTTTTATTTGTAAACTGCACTTTACAAAGCTCAGCAGCTTTCTGGGCACATTGAACGTGTATGTTATCATATGAAGAATAGGAGCCCATCGGACTGAGGACGGAAGTAAAGTCATGTTCTCTTGTCGTCTGCCTGTTGCTTTAGGATAATCGGCTTTCACTACAGGGCCTGGTGGGAACCCTCTTCTTCCCTGGGGTGACAGGGAGGGGACAGAGCCGCTGGCACACATGCTCGAGCCCACCCGCCCTCCCCAGCCCTGGCCCGAGAGCGGCAGCCCATTGAGTCTCCGAAGGACAGCCCGGTGTGTGATGTGCCCAGCAGCAGGCTGCCTCTTTTGCCTAGATTACGTTACCAGACCCTTGGTTTTTTTTTTTTCTTTTTTTTTCTTTTTTTTTAATCTATTTATTCATGAGAGCGAGCGAGAAAGAGAGGCAGAGACACAGGCAGAGGGAGAAGCAGGCTCCATGCAGGAAGCCCGACGTGGGACCTGATCCCGGGACTCCAGGATCACGCCCTGGGCCAAAGGCAGGCGCTCAACCGCTGAGCCACCCAGGGATCCCCTAGACAGACCCTTCTTTTACAAAACGCTGCTGCACTCTGAAACCGTGGCATCGACCATAAGTCGCTCCAAATAGTGTGAAAAGTAGGTCCAGCGTGGGGCTCCAATTCCAGAAATAAAACCTTTTTCAGAGACGTTAAATAGCTAAACCAGTTGTAGTTTTTGTATCTCACATGTTGATCTATTTTTCCTACTAAAATACCATTTGACAAGGAAGAGTGGATTTGTGACATGACTGGCATCTGCTGTATTCTTAACAGTGGTCCCCACACCGGGGAATAGTAGGTGCTCACTAAATGTCTGTTCAGTGGTTGTGAGCAAAAAGTAGGACAAAAAACATTAAATGCTCTTTTTTTGTTTGTTTAAGAAATTCCCTTTAAAGACAATCGTGTTGTAAATTTTTATGTCAGACTCCGAAACTAGGAGGCTTGTCTTTTTTATAAATGTTGGAATTTTATAAAGTGTAGTATCACAAAAGGTTATCCAGGAGCCTGAAGGTCAAGAGCATTAAGTAGAGTTGTTCTGAATGGATGTTGTTCAAAGGCCGGCCGTGTTTTTAGCCACAGTAACGATGGAGCATTGGCCCGCTGAGCGGTGAGGTGCTGTCTGCAGAGCTGCAGAGGATGGGCCAGGGGAGACCACTCGCCAGCCCGAGAGAACTGGCACTTGGGGTGATTTTCGTGGCAGTCCTGATGCTAGCTAGGGCTGGGACAGTAGTCCCAAAATGGCCCTGGTGGGCTGCAATCGTACGTGGGCAAGCGTCCTTTAGATAGCTAAACTCTAGAAACGTTACTAATCCTTACCAAGTCGAATCTGATACTCCGGGTGGACGCTCTTTACTGATACGGTTGTGGTAGGAAATTTGGAAACTCTAGGAGTGAGATAAAGAAAGGTTGCCCCGCAAAAGCTCTTCTACCTGTCTGATGTGGGCAAGAAACATAACGTCCAGTCCCCGCGAATGAGGAAGCCGCCGTCGACCAGCTGAACACGGCTCACGGGGGCGGGCCACGCAGGTGCGCTCTGGCAGGGTCCCAGCTGAGGCCACACTGCCGTGCTCCCGGCGGGCCAGCCCTCCTCAGATGCAGGGTCCTCGCAGCGCAGGGTCACAGGTCACGCGCGCCAAGAGCAGTGAGGCCCGACCCCGGGTCCCTCTGCAGCCCTGCATGCGTGAGCTGACAACATTGGCTTATGTCATGTCTCCCTCTTCCGATATATTCTAGCACAATTTAACACAATCGAAAACACCACGTGTGGTTGTGTAGAGCCATATATGAATGATCAGTTTGAGATAGAAACGGATTGTGCGCATGTGTGACCAGCAGCCCCAGAGCTGGCGACTTCTGCACAGAAACAAATATACGACGTCCTAAGCCCCATATTTCTCCATTGTTCTTTTTCTCTCTAAACCCTCCTAACTGCTTGTTTATCTTTCTGTTTTCTAAAGGGGCTGACTGCAGTCAGTGGTGGTTCATCAGAGAGAGTGGGTCACATACATTAAAGTTGTGGTTCTTAAGTATATAAAATGAGCTGTTTCTCTAATTCCCAAAAGCCCACGTGCTGATTTACCATGCAGCTGTTCCGTCTACAAGGAAGAAAGCACCGCCTTAATTTGTTGCTTTGCTTGGCGGGGATGGGGGGGACACCTGGTGGGGACACCTCAACAAAACAGAGATGTCAAGCATCACAGACGTCACGCTGTGTGTTTCTTCGGCAGGTGGTGATGGCACTTCTCAAATACTGGCCAAAGACCCATAGTCCAAAAGAAGTCATGTTCTTAAATGAACTAGAAGAGATCTTAGACGTAATCGAACCATCAGAATTTGTGAAGATCATGGAGCCGCTCTTCCGGCAGTTGGCCAAATGTGTGTCCAGCCCACACTTCCAGGTACGGAGGACAAGGAGGGAGCAGCCTCCAGGGTGACCCCATCACCAGACATGTAGTTTTCGCTAAAAGTTGTTAGAAATGGCTCCTCCGTACAAGTGCCTTTGTCTTTACGTTCGGCGCGCCCCAAACACGTAGACCCTCGCTTTCCACACCTGAGAGGTGGATGCTTGTAGATGAACTGTTCAGCCCCGAAACTCCCCGTCCACAAGCACTTTATTTCTGACACACGCACGTTCCTGTTTGAGGGGACCCTGGTCACACACCGCTCTCCTGTCCTCGGCTCCTCATTCAGCCCTTCTGGCCTTGTTCAGAGGTCGTCTCCAGGACCTCTGTGTCGTCCGTCTGCCTCCCATGGACCTGCTGGCATGTATCATGAGCTCACAGTGGGCAAGGCAGCCCGGCCAGAGGGGGTCCCTGTGTCAGCCCCGCTCCCATCCCCCCAGCCCTCCTCCTGGCCCCCTTCCTTGGCCACATGGCCTGTCACTTCGGGAGAATGAATTCTCCCATCACTGTCTCCCCTGCCAGAACGTAAGCTCCACAAGGGCAGGAGTTCTGCGTCACCTCAGTCACTGCTGACACCTCAGCACCAGACCCGTCCCAGACCTGTGATGGGAGTGGGTGGGCGGGAGGCAGAGGGATGAGCACATCTGGCGGTTGTGTGTGGCCCACGTGTGGCCCAGGGCCCAGCATAAATGTTTATTAAATGAATAGAGAAATGAATGTATTCTTGATGTACAAGAAACCCTCTGCCTCCCTGTCGGGGGCTCCTCGGGGTTACAGTCTAGAGTGTGCTGAGGTTGTGTAAATGAGTCGCTAATCCAGTATAATTCACCACGTACCCGCAGAGTTGTGGGCAGGGTCCTGCTGAATGAATGTTTGTCGTCACGGCCACATCAGTTGTGCCGTCTGTCTTCCAGGTGGCAGAGCGAGCACTGTATTACTGGAACAATGAGTATATCATGAGCCTAATCAGCGACAACGCAGCAAAGATCCTACCCATCATGTTTCCATCCTTGTACCGCAACTCCAAGACCCACTGGAACAAGTAAGAAACAGCTGGCTGTCGCCCACTGGGGCATTTTAACATTTCACGTATCTCGCTGAAACTTCCAACCAATTCAGATTGAAATCCAAGTCCGAAATAGCAGTTAGAAAAGAAAATGTTGCTTTTATTGAGGGCTTAGAATTAAGGAGAAGTGTGGGTCGTATCTGTGGCCTTTTATTGCCTCCTCACCTCCATTTCAAGCCAATACGGAGGCACGTCTGTTGGCACCCACCGTTCCTGGCTGCATCGGCAGTGGCATCTTCCAGGCTTCATCTTTTTTTTTTTTTTTTTTAAAGATTTTATTATTCTTGACAGAGAGAGAGGCAGAGACATAGGCAGAGGGAAAAGCAGGCTCCACGCAGGGAGCCCGATGGAAGACTCGATCCCGAGACTCCAGGATCACGCCCTGGACAGAAGGCAGACACTCAACCATTGAGCCACCCAGGCGCCCCAGGGCCTCGTCTTAGATCTCCTCCAGCTAAGGTCACTGCAGAGCCCTCAGAGCACGGTGGCCACCCTGTTCTTGGAGGCGCCCAGGCCTCCACCATACACCCTGTTGAGCCCCTCTGAGAGCATGAGCTGCCCTCCTGTCCTCGCTGCCTGGACGGCAAGGGGCGAGCAGGTGCTGGCACACATCCTGACCGCGTCCTCCGTCCTGTCACTTAACAAGGATGAGGAGAGGACACTAAGCAGTGGTCTTCTGACACCTTCCAAGGCACGGTCAGGGCAGACTCCCTGTCACTGTGGGATACCGACTGGTATTCGTGTCCTTTACATGAATATGGGTACCAGCGCTTTGCTCTCCCCTCCTCCTTTCATTTCTTTCCTTTCCGTGTTATAATCATTATATCAGAATCGAAAGCAGGGAGAGCAGAGCCCCGATACCCATCCTGCCCCCTTGTTTACAGGCGAGGAAAGCCAGGCTCAGGGCGGTGGCAGCCGGGCCACACTCGCGGGCTGGCTGGCGGCTGCCTGGCTCACAGGGCCCCCTGCACACCCTTCCACTGGCCTGGCTCACGTTCTGGCCTCATCTCACTCAGTCAGTGGCCTCATCTGAGAAATAGAGAAAACGCTGGCACCCACCTTGGTGTTTTGTGCTGGCTCATCAAGAAAATAACGTTAATATACATGAGCACTTCGCAGCGCCCTTCACCCTATTGTGAAGGTTAATGCAGGTCAGGTTGATAGACAGAAAGTCCCTGGCACCCACCAGGCATCCGGGGAGCGTTCGCCATCAGCACGCAGCTGGAGGGGCCCCGGAGCCTGCTTGCCCGGCCCAGCAGACCTCGTCTGTGTATCGACTTTCAGCAGCCTCTTCTTGGCAACATTCATTTTTTATTGCGCTCGGCAGGTGGTAACAAAAGCCTCGGAGCTCAGCCATCGTCCCCGTGTGTCATTTAGGATATGATGCGAGGGTCAGCGGTGACTACTGACTGGCCGCAGACCCCTGCCCACTGCAAAGAGAGACGTGTCACTTTAAATGTTTCCATATACGAGTTGGGTTTTATTATAAACTGAGTTAAGAAGTCGCTGTGAATCCTGCGACGGCAAAAGCAGAAGTCGTCCTGGCAGCGGTGAGAGCAGTTACGGGGAGACAGATGAGATTTCCTGTGGCTACTCACGAGGCCGCGGGGCAGTTGTCCCCGTCCCACCGGGGGTTCCCGTGTGGCTGTCATCAGATGGCCAGTGGGACTGGCGTCATCTCCAGGCTCCATTAGCTCGCAGAGCAGCTGGGCCTCCTCCCTCTCACGGATGTCAGAGCGGGGAAGCTGAGTTCCATTAAGCCAGGCCGTGGCAATGTTATGTTCTGCCTTCCAAAGCTCTGTTTCGGCATTATTAAAAATTCTCCTGCCCTTAATTAGTAAGATGAAAAGGAAACTGACATTTATAAGGAAATAAAATGCTTCCACTATCGTTCCCTACACATCGTGGTTTGTCTGCATTACATTTCTTCAAGTTTTGACATTTTTTTTATTCCGTTTCCACGGAAGATGGCTTTTGGCTGCTGTCAGCCAGGACAGAGAGCTAGGGGCCTGGGGTGGGGGGTGCTGGGGTGCTCAGCGAGGAGCTGGTCAGGAGCGCGCTGCAGGCTGCGTGCACACAGGTGCATCCAGCATGACGGGCTCTCGTTGGAAAGCCCGGGAGGCGTGGGGCGGAGGGCCGTTGCAGTCGCTGGAGAGTTGGGGAGCAGCGGGTTGTGTCTGAGGAGGGCAGGGAAGTGGATGGAAAGACGGAGAGTTCGGAGCATGAACATGAAGCTCTGCTTACAGGACGATACATGGCTTGATCTACAACGCGCTGAAGCTCTTCATGGAGATGAACCAGAAACTATTCGACGACTGCACCCAGCAGTTTAAAGCAGAGAAACTGAAGTAAGTTGCCCCTTTCAGAAGCTGCTCTTTCAAGGATTTTTGTCTCCCTCAGTTCTGAATAAACCTCTTGCTTCGGTTTGTCCTAAAACGTTGTGCGTTAAAGTAAAATCGGTTCTTGCATACTTGGGAAGCAAACGAAACCATTTGTTAACCTCTTCTCGGAGAACATCGCTGTTCTCTCCACTATGTGACCAGTTTAGTCACTTAACAGAAGTTAGTCACTTCTGCAAAACGTGTGTGCAGGCAAGACGTTCACTTTCAGAATGTTTGCTTTTCTCCGGGAACGCTGAAAGGCTGGAGGTCCAGTAACTTTTCAGGTGTATAAGGCAGGAGTCGGAATTCTGTTCCATGAGGTGTACGCGAAGGAGCAAGCATCTTCATCTCAGCGTAGCTTTATCGCGCCCACTGAACGCGGGCCTCCTCTGGAACGTAGCCTGTGTCCTTCGCGAGACCAGGCCTGCTGTCAGGCTCCGAGGACGTCAGAGTCGAGTCTGGGCAAATTTTATTCTTTGCCTGTCGCTTGAAGCAGGGTAGGGGAGATAAACTTTGAACGAGTATAATTCAAATTATGGGAGACACATAACCGGCTCTCGTGTCCATGCTTCAAGACGGTACCTATGTGTTGACCTGGACCCCAGGCCGCGTTGTAGGTTCTGGCGGCACAGCAGTGAATACAACAAAACTCCTTGCCCTCACGGGTAGCGTGGAAGGGAAAGACAGGGAAACGCACGTGAGGAAGACGCGCTGCGCGCAAGGTGGTGGTCGGCAAGGCAGGGAAGGGGCCCGGGGACAGGTGCACACGGGGCCTCCCGGGCTCCCGCAGGGCTGAGCACAGTGTTCACACATGCCGTCGGCTTTTCACACGGCGAGTATCTTAGCTTTCTGCAAAAGATCTTAAAGACCATGCAGCGTACCCTCCAGATTTTAAAATAAACAAATGAATAAATAAGTTGGGTCCAAGTTAAGCGATTTGCTCAAGGTCATGTGACTCACTGGCCATATGATGCAGCGAGAATCGGGTCTGAAGAAGGTTCCTTTTTAAAGCCGTCCACGTTAGGACTTTGGCCATGCACCCCGGTTCCTATATGCCATGGAAGGGGCTCACTTTTCATGGCTTCCTAAGCTTGTCTTCAAAATTATGTAGGTCCTCTGAAGAAGCAGCTAAAGCAGGAGGGATGGAGACCTGACATGTCCTCCCATAAGCGTTCCTGAGAACCTGCAGTCTTGAACGTGTTAAAATTGTAGCCTATTTATTTGTTAAATTTTTTCCCCTAAGTCTGGCTTGTCTTTCGCATTTCGTTTTCCGTGTTACATTACCCTGTGATCACCACGGTGAAGTATGTGGAGTGAGACCAGAAAGGGACAGAGGAAAAAGTAGGTGATTGTGTTGCTGGCCATGTCCGTTTTGCCTCTCGCCTTCTCTTGCATTTGATCCGTCTCTCTAATACCAATGACGTTTTACTATTTTTCAGAGAGAAGCTAAAAATGAAAGAACGAGAAGAAGCGTGGGTTAAAATAGAAAATCTAGCCAAAGCAAACCCCCAGGTACTAAAAAGAGTAACATGAAAATGTCTAGGGTATAACTGAGTGTTTCTGTGAGCTGAGTGTGGCTTCATCACAGGAGGGGAGGGGGGCGGTCTCTCTAGCCTTGTATGTGGAAATGTCTGCAATAAAAGTACTTCTCAACTTCTGTACAAGTAACTTATTTTTGCCCCACAAAGTTTTTACCACAGAATTGACCTTTTTTTGGCCTCTGCTTTTTCAATGAGCTGGAAATCTTATCAAGACACTGTGGTAAAAATAAAACCAGGATACAACCTCTATTTTGGGCCAAGATTTCAGTTTGTTTTCTCCCCACGAATGTCGTAGATGCTGTCGCTCAGGAGATACGTCCCTTCCTTTTTGATCTCAAAATGATTCAAAAAGAAAGGGAGTTAGATTTGAAATAGATGAAGCGTGGAGTGGGTGTCGTCTCTCCTAAAATCGGGTTCCTATAGGCTGAGCCTCTAATTGTCAAAAATTGCCTGACTTGTGCCGTGTTCGCCACTAAGGCCTTCTCCTGTCGTAGCGAGGAGGCTCCAGGGCGCCCTGGCACGCGGTGTGTCCTCCGGAGCTGCCGGCAGGTGACGGCGTCCTGCGTGGCGCCGACTCTGGGGCCGGCTCCCCGGGTGACAAGCGTCCGGGGGTTCTGAGTTGTGTGGTCCTTGGTGTTTGGTCCACATGGACCGGAGCGCGGTCCTTGCAGGCGCTCCTGGCTCGAGGCCTGTCTGAAAATCACGGGCGCACGCTGCACCAGAGGAACGGTCCCCGGGCTGTCCTCAGCCTCCCCGAAAAGAAAAGATGGTACTTTATGAGAACCACTCAGCTCCCCGTAAAAATCCTAAAAGGTTCGCTAAGGTGGATCTAGATGACAAGCAGTCTGTGTTCTCTGGTGAGAGGTGTGCATAAGTTGTTCAGGCTCTGAGGTCATCGTGCAGGTTTTTAAATGTGACGTTTCGGAAAAAGGGACACATGAGCACAAAGCTCGAAGGTATATGTTTAATCTGTGTGACGTATTGATTGTGTTCCGCTCGAAAAAAAACCACATTCAAGAGACTTAAACCCTAGGGAAATCGCATGACGTTCCTAAGTGAGGTCCTCGTCCCCGCGTGGAAGAACTCAGCATCTGTTCTGTGCTCTTCCACGGAAGTGCTGTCGTAAGGTTACCGTGAACCCGTGAGCACCTCGTGGAGCTAGACAGCCCCGGGTATCTGCTGTAGGGAACGGAATGTGAGGGACGCCTGGGTGGCTCAGCGGGTGAGCGTCTGCCTGCGGCCCAGGGCGTGATCCTGGGGTCCCGGGATCGAGTCCCACATTGGGCTCCCTGCACAGGGTCTGCTTCTCCTTCTGCCTGTGTCTCTCATGAATAAATAAATAAAATCTTTAAAAAAAAATAAAAATTAAAAAAAAAACGGAATGTGAGGTTGAAATACTGGCATTTAAGACACAGCAGAAGCGTAAATCTGAGGCAGGTGGAGGCAGAGGGGCCTCTGGGTGACAGCCCCGTGCCAAGGGCAGTCAGACGGGGTCCCAGTTAGGGCCATTGGAGACCTTGCCCCACACGCACCCAGAATCAACACCCCGAGAAACATAAAATGTGCACAAATCAGAGAGTCCGGTTTGACGCATTCTATTCTAGGACGTAGAAATCATGATCTCACGAAAAACCGCACGAGGCTTTCATGTTACAAATGAAGAAGAGCTGGTCGGTTGTGTAACAAGCGTGGCCTGGTTTCACTGCTGGGCTGTAACAAGTGTCCCTTCTGAAATAGCCACTGTTCTCATTTCCCTCTGGCCGAGCTTCCCCTGAGTTCTCGTCCCCCCGGGGCCCCCTCTGCAGCGGGCCAGGCGGGCGACTCCGCAAGCGCCCCGGCTCTCCGGGGCTCCCCGCGCTGTGCTCCCCGTCTCCCCGGTGGAACCGTGTGTGAGTCAACCCCCGTGAGTCCCGCCCGCATGCCCTGACCTCTCCCCACCCCTCCCCCATGCATGTGTCCAAAAGGAAAATACTTCATGGGCTCAGGTCTCAGAGCTGAGAAGCAAGGACTTGGGACTTGCTTTTCACTTGAGAGAGAGGGAATCTTCGAAATTCCTGTCCCTGGCTCCCGTCGGGGTTTTGGAGCATGGCTCTCCATCTCAGATCTGCCTTCTTGAGAGTGAGTTCAGAGCCTCTTCTGTAGAGCGGATCCCCCAGAATCCACCGCCGGCTCCCTGAGCTGTATCTGGAAGTCTCCACGAGGCTCACCTGCTCAGACTCGGATGGGCCCCGTCCGTCCCTCTGGGCTTGGGGACTCTGCGGCGCCTCCAGAATCTTGGGTCGTGTTTGTTGTAGCAGGTCCGTTGGAGTCGCTTAACGTCACGCGTGATTTAATATAAATCATGAAATATTGAGGATCTCTAACGTAAGTGTGGTTTCCTCCTCCTCCAGAGAGGCCAAGGAACAGTTTACTGCTTGCTCCTCCCGGACTTGGGTGAGAATTGTGTGAGCGAAGCGAGGCAGGCACTCCTGTGCACCTGGGGGCTCCCGTCCTGCTGCGGCCTCGGGCCCAGTGTGCGGGGAGGCCCGGGGTGCAGGACGCGGCTGGCTGCTTTCCTCTGAGAGGTGGGCTTCTCTGCGGGGACGTTGTGTTCCTTTACCCTGCTGTGGACTCCAGCCCCGACAGAGGTCTCTATTCCCAGTAAGAACCCTCCCCTGCCAGGGCCTGCTGCGGGCACTCGCTTTGCTGTGACCATCGTGTAGCGTTCTTGTCCGTCCTTCTTGCCCGGAGCCCCAGCGAGGACTCAGAGCCCCGTGCTGCCCTGAGCACCGGCTGTTGGTGGAGTCCACGCAGGGCACCACCTGAGGAGTCGTGCGGTCACTTGTGTTTCTCTGAGCCCCTGGAGGCGCGGTGCCAAGCAGGCCGCCGCCTCACTTGGCAGATGGGCGCCAGCCGGGTGTCCTGAATCATGGAACTCTCCGAGATCCAAAGATGAGAGCAGGACACACCTCCGAGGAGCTTAGGATCCGAGAGGGGAGCCAGATGGCGGCAAAGAGAATTCATTTCAGGTGGTCAGATTATAACACAGATGAGATGATGCTAGAGAGGAAGGAAGGCAGGAGGTCTTCCTGCCTCTATCAGAGATGCAGAAAGACACACTGTGGGACGGCCACAGTCAAGGTGTCCCCAGCAAGAGGCTGAGCCCCTTGGAGAGGAAGTGTCAACCAGGGGGACCTACCCAGTGTGAATTCGAGGCAGAGAGAGCAGAGTGAGGAAGCCGAGTTGTTCAGCACAGGCGGATTGTTAGCTGTGCAGGAGGGGCTGGGTGTGGTCTGGATTATTCGGGATGCAGCCGGAGAGGTAACAAATGTGGATTTTATCCCCTTGAATGGGCACAGGTGGTAGCGTCGTAAAGAGTGAAGTGGCCTAGGCAGACTTGCATTTCAGATAGTTCTTTCTGGCAGCGACACGTCTGGTATACCGGAAGGGGCCAGTGCACCCAGGGGCTCCTGTAGACGTGTGGGCAGCAGCAGGGTTGATGGGGACGGCAGACTGGCACCCGGTGGCATGGAAAGGAGGAAGCCAGCCAAGCCAAGGCTCCAGTGAGCCAGTGGCCATAACAAGGATGCTGTCCTGGGGGCCCAGAACAGAGGCTAGGCCAGAGCCATGAAGGCACAGCTGCCCCCTGCAGGCCGAGGGCATGGGTTAGCGAGAGCTCTGGGGAGCAGGGAGTGGGGGACAGGGGGACAGGGAGACACCAGCAGGGGCAGGGAGGCAGGGAAGCAGCAGAGGAATGCCCCTGCGGTAGTGGTGGTCCATCCGTTGTGCCCTTCATGCCACAGAGAGGCCCAGGAGGATAAAACCCAAAAACTGGCTCAGCAACCAAGGGGTCACCCAACCCTGGAGCCCATGGTCCCATCAGAGGAGCCAAGGGGAGGAAGTAGGGGTGCTATGTGGGCAGAAAGGGGGTGGGCAGGTCAGGTGGGTGAGTGAGCCCCAGCTCCGCCAGTCCCCTCCTATCAGCCCAGTGACGGTGTTTACCTCGGGTTTGCTGCCATGTATGACGTGCTTGCGGTGGCACCCCACTCGCATCTCCCCCACCCATGTGCCCCCTCGCACCCTCACAAAGGGCACACTTAGCTCACTTTAACCACCACAACGGCCTCCTCTGGAGTGGCCTTCCCCCATGTCCCACTCAGAAACGGAGAGGCCAGCAGCCAGAAACCTGCCCATGGCTCACGGAGCCCTGAGAGAATGGGTCCCAGGGCTGCCCCGCAGAGCGCACAGCCGGGTCTCAGAGTTTGGCTAGAGGGCCAAGACGCCCAAGGTGTAGACGAAGCAGTGGGATTGCTAACGGGGTTCCAGCTAGTTAGAGCGTGGTGTGAAGGAGTGAGGTCGGCAGGTGTGCACAGCCCGGGGGGGGGGGGGGGGGCGGGGGGCTATGAGCCGTCCAGATGAGCACGTGGACTCAGGTGCCAGGTTGCCAGGTGGGGTGCCGGCCCAGGGACCAGAGAGGCCTTGAAAGGGATGCTGGAGCCTATGTCACAGTCCTCACCTGGTGCCCCTGGTGGCCTAGGGGAGTAAAAGTGTTGTGTCTGAGGCGCTGCAGGTGTAAGCTGGTTTAATTACCACCCAGCAGGCTTCATTCAGGAGAGGGCCCTGGGGAGGGCGCCAGTGGGAAGCCATGCCCCTGGCCAGGATGAGGCCCCAGAGTCCAGAACCCGAGCGTTAACAGAGAGAGTGATTCCACACTTTGCATTGCAGTACACAGTGTATAGTCAAGCGAGCACCATGAGCATTCCGGTTGCAATGGAGACAGATGGGCCTTTGTTTGAAGATGTGCAGATGCTGAGAAAGGCCGTGAACGAAGAGGCTCGCCAGGTAAAAGCACAGAGCTAAGCCGGGACGCACCATGTAGAGTTGCTTAAGAAACGTGTAGGGTTTTAGGAGCTTCTATGATCTACAGCAGGGCCTTCTGTGCAAAGCTGAAGCTAAAAACTAAGTTCGGGTCAGCCCATTGGAGGTATTTCGTCCATGCATCTCAGTGATCAAACTACTAGAAGTCATTTTTGAGGCTTGAGTATGTGCCTGAGGTTTGACTATGTTCTTCGTTTATAGTTAACAGTGATAGTCTCAGCTCCTCACCAGTCCTCAGATGTTCACCTGAACAGAAAACCCAACAGTCCACAAGGGTGGTGTCTTTGCACTGCCTTCCCTGTGCACCCTCCACTCGTGCTGTGGCGCAGAGGCGCCCCGGGCAGTTCCCCAACAGCAGCCACTGCTGCCCCTCGGCTTCAGGACACCAGGGCCGAGCCTCGTCGTCTTCCCCGACAGCAGAACCGCACTGCCTCGCAGGAAGGGTCAGGAGCCGGGGTTCCCCGCAGGCTGGGGCTTTGTCAGGACCGCCTCACCTTAACACCTGTGTTCAGGTGGTTTGTTTCCAAGTGGTGGAGATACATAGTCCCATCCCCACCGATCCCGAGACAGACTCTTAGTACTAAGTTGGGAATATGTCCAATTTGGGCTTTAGAGAGGGTACGTGTCCTGCCTGGGCGTGAGGAGCCTGTCGGTGGCCGTGCTTCCGAGCGTACCTGCCTCTTCAGTTCATGGAAGCTGCTGTGGTCTTGACCTCATGGGGATGCGGAGGGGCGAGGGCCTTTCTGACTCTGAAACTTTAATCCCCTTCGGCCTACTTGAGAATTCCTAACGCCATCCGGCGCTAAGATTCTGAAGCGCAGGCCAGAGCGACCAAGGTACGCTGTGCGCTGGACGCAGGTGGTTCACCAGTGCTCGTGTCGCTTGGAACTCACTTAAGCAGAGGTTTTAATGCAAGTAAAGTTCACTCCCCACAAGATCAGATGGGATCGGGCGTGAGCAGGAGCACAGGACCTCCACCACCCAGGCTGCCGTGTCCCGACATGCAGCCACAAGCCACACGAATGCAAAACCATCTCACTTGTAACTTTTTACTACTGATTACATGTTGAAATGATGGCATTTTGGATATATCAAGTTAAATTTTAAAATGCTATTAAAATTAAGTTCACCCTCTGCTCTCTTTTACTGTGGCTGCTGGGAAATTCGGAGTTCCATACTTGGAACACGTTATTTTTTTATTGGTCCAGCCTCCTTTTTCACAGAGCTGCCCAAAGAAGGCAGCCACACTGACCACATTCGTGCCTCTTCCTGCCCAGCCAGCTCCCAGCCTCAGCGTAAGAACAAAATTTGAAAATACCAGAAGTGCAGTGGGAGAGACTCCATACGCTCCTAGCGAATGTCAGTAACTCGTTTTTACTTGATTCAGTTGGAGTCCATAGTTGTTAGCAATGAACAGATTTAATCAAATGCAAAAATCCTTCTATTTTTCTCCATCTTGGCTATGGGGGCTTTAATTTTCCTACTTTGTTTTTTTGTTTTTTGTTTTTTGTTTTCCTAGGACAGGAATTTGAGGTCGTTTTTTAAATTACCATTTCGATTTTATGTCTTAAAGTGTGCTAAAGACATGAGAGGGCAGCCCCAGTGGCACAGTGGTTTAGCGCTGCCTGTAGCCTGGGGTGTGATCCTGGAGACCTGGGATCAAGTCCCACGTCGGGCTCCCTGCATGGAGCCTGCTACTCCCTCTGCCTGTGTCTCTGCCTCTCTCTCTCTCTCTCAGTCTGTGTCTCTATGAATAAATAAATAAAATCTTTAAAAAAAAAAAAAAAGACATGAGAGCTTGCCCATTACTTGCAGACACAGAGGATATCAAATTAGCGCCCCTCCTGCCAGGAAGCCTACTCAAAAATCTGTGACCACATTAGTTTTTAACTCGTGTAGACCATTTAGAGATGGATAGGAAACTGATGATTTACAAGCCAGTTCTTACACATTAAATATTTGGGGATTGGAGGTTAGGGTTTTTTTTTTTTTTTTTTTTTTAGAACATCCTTTGGTCCAATACAGATCATAATTAATGCTAGGAAAATAATGACCTGTGTCCAAAATGTAACGTAAATTATGGTGATATTTCTAATTTAAGGTGACTCTATGAGGAATCAAGTATTTGATCAAAAAGGCAAACCAAAATAGCATTCCCCTCTTGGGTGAAGTCGGCCCTAGTCTTTATGTGATAGCCAGTCCCAAGAAAACTTCCACCCGGTTGATCTGTCCCCTGCCCTTAGCACAGGGCACATCTCCTTCGCTGCTACCTGAAAGGCAATCTCTACTCCCCAGACAGGGCATTTCTTGGAGGACTCTTGTAGCATATTTGTTTCCATGACTCTTATAATAAGATCATGTAACTAAGTTTTCCGTTAATTGACAGCCCTACAAAAAACAGTCCCCCACTCTTCCCTCTTAGATTTCTATGATCACGTTCCTGGGTCTGAAAGACTCGATGCCTTTAAAATACCAGTTCCCCCTGAATTAATGTGATCTCCATCAGAATCCCAGCATACTTTTTTTTTTTTAATGACATATGGATTCTAAAAGTCATATGACAACACAAAGGACCCAGAATAGCCAAAACAACTTTGAAAAAGAATGAAACTACCCAAGAGTAATATTACCCAAGTTTAGGACATATTAAAGATTTCTATGGATCAATTGAATCCCCATCTCAGGTTATCTAGATGAAGGTATTTATAGTACAGTCTCTTAAATACAATATTTGATTTAATAGATTCTCCTGAATTGGAAAAATGTTGGCATCCTATTCCTGAAATTCTCAAAAACATTGTTAAGGCAAAGAGAAAATACCTCGATGGAGGAAAACTTTATGTGCACAATTTGGAGACCAAATTACATAAGAAGTTACAGCTAAAAATTAAAGTCTGAATATTTTCGGTAGCCTTTTAATTTTATCTTCGGCTAATTTTATTTTTCCAAAATAACTCCACGTTTCCTTAAAATGACTTGAACGTTGACCAGAACAGGACGTGGGTGAGAGGTAAATGGCAGGACTGCACAAGGGCAGGGGAGGAAATCCTCGTGGAAGTGGGATGCAGTTGGTTGGGATTTTGTGAAATTCAATTATGTGTTGACCTGTCAGAATCATGATTTTCTTTTTTTTTCTTTTTTTTTTTTTTTTTTTTTTGCGAAACTTGTCTAACCCTACCTAGAACATCCCAAGAAAAAATAGTAAAATTTCATGTGAATGACATTTATACCGGAGACGTTTACAATGTTTACAATTCTCATTTTTAACAGTCGGTCGGGAGAAAAGCAGTGTCAACCATGCAGATAAGGAAGGTGTAGAGACGGAAAGGTGGGAAGTGAAGGTACTCCTTACCCAATACGTGGAGTGCGTGTAAGGCTCGCGTGCTCAGGACGAGCCTGGACAAATGAACGTTGTGCACATGAAGTATTTTCCCTTCTCTCCCTGTCATCCCAGCTGGTGATGGTAAAGACAAATCTGGTCCCTCAAGACATCTCGATTAGCTGTGTCCTCAACTGCATAGCAGAAACGTGCACGATTATCTTCACCCAACCCCTCCTGTTCTGCTACCACTTACCGTATAAACTTAGCCTCTTAGATCTGCCCACACGCGGCAGAGAGGCCGTGCCCTGCTCTCCGCCCGCACGCCCCCGCCACCACCTGCATGCCCCCCAGCACCCCCCCACTGCCCGCATGTCCCCCCACTGCCTGCACACACACCCCCACCCAGGCCGACCTCACCCCTCCCTGCCCGCTGTGTTCCTCCTCTTGTGGTTCGTGAGACTCATGCTCTGCTTTACCTGCCAACCTAAGATGCCGACGCACAGAGGCCCACACGTGTCCGGCACACTCTGTGCCCTTCCAGACGCTACTGGGGTCATGTCCCATCCCTCCCATTGGCATTTACTGGTTCCAGCCCCCCGGTGTCCCCCTGGCCTTGGTCTTTTAAAATGTTTCTTCCCTTTGGAGTGCCTGTTTCAGCAGTGATTAAATATCTCGAGTAGGGAAAAGCCTTGGTTTTGTTTGGCTTCACTTTGCTTGTTTACAGCTCAGCGTGGAAGGGTCATAAAATCCAGGGTAGAATTTTCCCTCTTGAGCTCTCAGGGGGGCCGAGAGCAAACACGCTTCAGCACCGTGACTGAGGTCCCTCGGGGCGTGTGCCCAGCCCTCACAACCTCCTGATGGGGGTGCTTCAGCCGAAGCCACCTTACACTAATTTTCAGGGGGGAAAGCAAAACTCCTGCCTTTACCATAAATGAATGTTAATATTCACATAACGTTTCTAGAACTGTTCCTAAAATGTCACACAAAGCTCTTCCTAAGCCTCGGTGTTCTTGCTGTTTCCACAGATAAATTTGCAAAGAACCCTAAGAAGCATTAGCTCTGCAAAAATGTGAACTTTTCATGTCTGACTTCTGCAGGTTCTGGAGTCATTTTAAAAGTCAGGAAAAGTATACTTTATGCTGAGGTTAGATATCCAGAAACTACGAGAGGTGGTTGTGGTTTTGCCCCTTTTGGTGTCAGATGATTGACTTAAAACGAGTTTTTTCCGATTAGACGTTTGTTCACCACCACAAAAGTCATTTGTTCTCTCTAAAGCCTGTCTTCTCTTTGATGGAGACGCCAGGCAGAAAGGCTTGGTTCTGGTTAAAGTCTCTACCTAATTGGCAGTCTTCTGTATACGCTGTTTAGATGACGTCGATGGCTGCTTTTGTTTCAGAAATACTGGTATTAATGCAGTGGCCCTACCTCAAAACCGAGTGACCTGTTTAACTGTTATTCCTGGAAATGGGTGCCTTTGGTGTAAACTCCCCCATATGAACCCCCTACACACACACACCCCACTCTCTTTGCAGACACAATCCTCCAAGTCCTCATGCAAAAAATAGGATTCTTTTTTTTTTTAATTTTTAAGTAAAACCCCAATGTTCTAAACTTGAGGAAGAGAATGGGGTGGAGAAGGGAGTCTTTTACTCCTTAATATTAGGAAATGTTATGTAAATAACCAAGTACAGTTTTCCCAGGTCTCGAGGGTTTGCTCCCCAGAGTGGTCCACTTCATACCTCTTACTTGAAGGACCTTTTTCCCATTCGACAGAAGTTTTAGACATTTTTCTTGACTTTAAATCCAGCTTTAATGTGGTTTTCGTTCATTTTTATGCACCTCCAAAGGACATTTCCACCTTCTGAAAGGCTTTTATAATGGACATAGCCGCTTAAATGCCTTCAGTAATACTGTGTGTAATCGGAGGCTTTTGCTGTTGATGACATTTCCTAAAACTGGTGGCTTTGCAAAATAGAGGTGCCGAGTCCTCTGTGCAGAACAGCATGTTTTTAGGGTCCCAGGTGCCAGTGTGGCACACACAGCCCCTTCGCCGCCAGTCGCTAGCAGTCTCCTAGTAGCCGAGACCGATTTGGGGGGGACAGCTGGCTGTGCCCGAGCCACAGAGGTCCCAGAGCAGCCCTCGAACGTGGGCGCTGGGCACCCAGCTCACGGCCGCCCTTTGACTTGGGACGCGGACGTGAGCTCACTGCCCCGACGGCTTCGTTTGTGGCCAACACCGCTGCCTTTTTCCTTGCAGGCCCAGAAAGATCTGAAGAAGGACCGGCCTGGCGTGCGCCGCAAGCCCGAGCTGCCTCAGGACCCCCACACCAAGAACGCCTTGGAGGCCCACTGCCGAGCGGACGAGCTGGTGTCCCAGGACGGCCGCTAGCCCCCCGCGGGCCTGCCCGGGCTTCCCCGGATTCTGTAGAAAATACATCCTTTTTGTGCCATACAAATCAGTTACACTCAGAGTCAGAGCTTTTCTTCGACCCCGTTCTGTAGGCAATAACGCGCTTCGGCCTCAGCTCGAGATTAGGAGTTCAAACAATGGTGGTGGCTTCTCCAGCGGCCCAGCCCGGCCACACTGCTCCCCAGGTCAGAGCTAAGGAGAGCACCCTGGCCAGCCTCTTCACGTCCTCCCCGGCCGGAATCCGCCGTCATTTAAGATAAAATAAGTGGTTCTAGGAGAATATCAATGTTCTTCAAATCAAAGGAACAGTTTTAAAAAAGTATTACATATTTTTGAAGACTCTACAACTTGTTCCATTGTTTCTCCATGATTGTTACGCCAATAGCTTCTCTCTCTCTCTCTCTCTCTCTCTCTCTTTCTGTTTTGTTCCTTTCTTTTTATCTCATTGAGATGGTTCTTTGCTGTCATCGTTCTAACATAACTTACTGGGAAACGTGACATGACAATCCTCAGCCGCTGTGTTTTCCGATGGTATCTCTTTACTTCGATTAGTGACGCGTATGCGGTGTCACTTGTGTTGTGTATAGCTAAAGCCATATTTCCAAGCCCGGGGTCCAGCACCAGGGGCTCCGGGAATTAAGCTCATAGGAGAAACTTATTTTAAACAGAGCTTTCTCTGTCTACCTTGACCGGAATTGGAATTTTAAAATGATGTGTCCATTTTTGTTGTCGTTTGCAGGCTCTTATTTTTCTCTACTTAAACATGATTGCCCTGTAACAAGGCTCTTGAATTAATAAAAGTTATCATCTCTAAGAATTCATTTTCCACGTTTTCTAGCAAGTAGAAGGAGGTCATCTTGAGTCGGGCCAGTTCCTGGCCTGATGAGAGCTGCAGGTGCCTCTGGGCAGAAAGTAGCAAGAGGCCACGGCCGGTGCCGGGCGCTGCCCCGATGTCCCCTGGCTGCCGCGACGTGGTCCCCGGACCTCAGACGGGCGGCCGCGGCAGGAGGGCTGCAGTGAACCGCTGAACCGTGTCCAGGCCAAAAGAGCACACATTCTAAACACCTCATAAGGAAAATACAGCGTCTAAGTTCCCATCGGTCTTCAAATGCTGCTATTAGAGTTCACGGACTTCCTTGCATGTTCGAGCTTTTTGTTTGGGATGGAATAGCACGGAGAGAAAACCCTTTACACCTAGTGCTTCGTCTGCTCTGTATTTCTCTCAGGGTGGCCAGTATTTTGACGTCTTTTATCCCGCTTGAGAGCTGTTTGAGATGCGTCCCGCTAGTGATTCTAGGTTCTTTTGTCTCTGGCATTGGACTGTATTAAAGTTCACGTTAAATGTCTTGATGCATAAAAGATAAAAATGTGGCTGCTTTTAGGATCTGTATTTTAATCGAGGTCTCGGGTGTCCATGGAAACATTGTGGAAAGCCTATGTGGTGTCACTTAACATCCACCCACGATGTTTATTTCCTTGTTCCCTGGAGGAAGATCACGGGGGGGGGGGGGGTTCTGGGTTAGGAGCCAAGTACTAACTAAAAAGATCGCCCCAGCTGAAAGTGGGAAAGGCCACTTTGCGAGAAGAAACACTTCCTGAGAAACTTGACAAGTTACCTATCCATTTTACCATTATGAAATTTATAATTTAAAAAAAAAAGTTTAGATGCCTTCTCCTTTTGAGGGAAAAAGGGTGCTTTTTATTGTATAAAGCAGCGTCTTATGTATTTTGATATACCATTGTTTGAACTTCCGTCTTTAGCTGATAGACTCTCAAATATCCTTGATTTTGGATGTTCAGTATGTGTGTGAGAGAGGGTTCTGGGAAGACTCTCTTCTGCCCTACATAAAAAGCAAAATATCCACGATTGGGTGATTGTATAAAGCTCAACCTGTAAGAACACCTTTTTGTCGAGGTTTTATTTCTGCTCTTTATTGAAGACAAACATTCACCAAAAAGGGGGGGGGGGGAATACGTTTTGAGAGAGACTAATTTTCTTTGACAAGAGTATTATTTAATATTTTGGCCTATTAAAGTTTTCCTAGTTAGTACTCAGACTCCCTGTGCTAATTGTTCAACTTATATATTATTATATAGATACACTGTTTATTCTGTACCAAACTGATTTCAAAAGTACTACATTGAAAATAAACCGGTGACTGTTTTTCTTCATAAAGTTCTGCGTTCTTTCGGCATCTTCACTCTTTCCAAAATGTACCTGTACATCAGAAATGTCACTATTCCGAGTGTCTTTTTAGTGTGGCTTTAGTATGGCTTCCTTTTAATATTGTACATACATTGTATCTTTGTTTTATGGTAATAAGTAATAAAAATGTAGACTTCATATTTTGTACAAAATGTCCTATGTACAGAATAAAAAAAAGTTCATAGAAACAGCAAAAATAGGTAAGTGGCACAATTATTTTTCTTTAGAAGATATCTGTAACTTTACGCTTTAGTGAAATGTTAAGTACCTACATATTTTTTAACATTTTGTAATTCAAGACTTTTTGTTCTGACATTGTTTATGAAGAGAAAACTTCATACACGTGCCATTTAATATGCTCTTTTATCCAATTTTAAAAAAGAAAAACCTCTAAAAATGGTGTATTATATGGACTAAATAAAGAACATGTGAATTTTATTGCTCATCATGACACTAAATTTAGCCATGGTGTTGGGCCAGCCAGGCCTGGTGATTCTCAGGCTTCCCTTGGCCCTTCCGGGGGCTGCTGTTCACCTCCCTTGGGGGGAAAGTAGAGGTGCCTTTCCACCCCCTCTCCGCTTTGCGTAGACGAGTGTGAGACAGAGCAGTTTATAGGATTATTTGAGCCCAAATCGTGACGTTCGAAACGATTCTTGAAATTACTGTCCTGGGAACAGAGTAGAAGCTCTGGGAATCTGAACTTGGAGTCTGGGCGGACCCACCCACGTCTTCGTGGGGGACCTGCCTCATCCTCACTGACGCCGTGAATGAACAGTCAACACAACAGACCGAGAATCGAGCTCTTCCCCCGAGTCATTGCCACAAACCACCCAGAGCCCCGTGGGAGTTTGGAGAACCACACGTGCCCCACTTCCCCCCCGGGGGCAGGTGCACTGGGTCAGAGGACTCCTTAAGTGTGGTGCAGCTGGGCTCTGGCCGTGTCCGGTGGCATCTGCAGCTCAGGGGTCCCCGGGAGACTCCGTAAAAGGGGGCGCACGCCGCGAGCCCAGCCTCGAGCTGCTCCTGGCCCCAGGTAGCAGGTGGAACCGGTCTGTGTCCTTCCGGGAGAACCGGTACGTTGTGCCAGGGGCTCGGGAGGCTGGGCCGCTTCACTCAGCTCCCACGACCGGCCAGAGTATTTGCCGCTGTCCCCCTCATTGACAGGTGAGGACATGGGGACACCAGAGGGCACGTCACTTGCCCAGGGTCACAGAGGTGCTGAGTGGAGCCGGGCTTCAGCCCAGGCAGCGTGATCCCGGAGTCCACCTGTCCGTCCCCTCGCCGCAGCAGGTGGGACATCTAGAGGAACCCCTGGGTCCTCCGAGGCCAGGGCGGGGTGCAGGGGGTGGCTCTGAGCACGGGAGGGCTTCTCACCGTGCACTTGGCTTCTAGAACTGCAGGGACCCAGGAAGCATCCAGCCCCGCGGCCTTCACACTTCGGAAGCTACGTTCTTACATAAAGTCAAGATTTGTAGTATTTCAATGACAAAAAAAAAAAAAAAAACAGGCACGTGACACCAACTTTCCCCCTGCGGGGACCAGCAGCCAGTGGCTTCTGTCCCGGGCGTTGGCTTTATAACGTCCCTATGACGTCTAAATGAACCTGCAAGTGTATCAGGACTTCGGCTCGGCGACCGGGTTCATGTAAGATTTCCTTTGGGGAGGAAAAGCCGATTCCGGTGTCCGAAAGTTGCAGACCCCCTGGACGGGCTGTCTAGAGAAGGAAATGGGAGCAGCGGCGGGAGAGGCGCCCGGCCCCACGCGCGCTCTGCCAAAGCCTGGGTGGGCCCCGCAGCCTCGTCCACCTGCCTCCCGACGGGGCGGCCTGGGGACACCCCAACTGGCTCCCCGGGGCGCTTCTAGAAACCGCTCAGCACGTGTGGTTTATCTTAGAGGCTGATGCGTCGGTGGTCACTCGCCATCACGCCAGGGTCCCAGTCCCCCGGAGACGCGGGGGGCGCAGCAAAGTGCGCTCCAGGGCCCTGCGGTGGCTTACGGGACTACCGTCAGGGACCACAGGTACGTCCCAGCACCGCCCTCCGGCTCACTTGCCCCGCGGAGGACCTGGGTGCCCTGCAAACAGCCAGGGAGGGACGCCCTGGGAGCACGGAGCCAGGCGCCTTCGGGCCGCGGCTTGCATGCAGCAGCCGGGTCCCCGGGGCGTCTGGTCCTGGTCCGGGTGCTCGGCCTCGCCCCCCTTCCCCGGGGCACACAGGATCCGCTCACGGTCAGGGAGGGATGCCTGGGACGTTGGGCGGCCCCGCACCCTGGAGCAGCACACCAAGAGGTCGGCCCCAGGTGGCCTGTTGCTGGCCCAGCCGCGGCCACCTCCTTGGCATCTTCGTTTCTGTCTCTGAAATGCATCTTGGAGAAACCGGCCACAAATTAATTGTGAATGTAAAGGCACCTTGTAGCCGGTGACTGCGCCACGGTCGTCGCCTGCTCTGCCCTGCTTGGGGTTTTCTCCAGGAGCCCACGCTCCGCCCCTAACATGAGCATGTGGGGGTGAACACGAGAAGACAGAGTGTTTAGGGTTCCCCCAGCAAGAAGTTAGTCCAGGGATGCCCGGGTGGCTCAGCGGTTGAGCGTCTGCCTTGGCCCAGGGTGTGACCCCGGGGTCCTGGGATCGAGTCCCACGTTGGGCTCCCTGCGGGGAGCCTGCTTCTCCCTCTGCCTGTGTCTCTACCTCTCTCTGTGTCTCTTATGAATAAATAAATAAAATCTAAAAAAAAAAAAAAGTCCAGACGGAGCACACTGCCTGAGACCAAAGCAGGGTCGCCTCCTGAACAAGACTTGGCCCTGAGGCTGGGCAAATGTTGGGGCACCGCTGAACCCACAAAAACCAGGCTGACCCCCTCGGCCGCACTCCGTAGCTGCTCTTGAGCCAAAAAGCAAACCACGTCCCCGGTAAGTCTTACAGTTCAATAAATTGTTCTCTTTTGTTCCGTGTGGTCGAAATCCAGATGGCTCTGCGGCGAAGGAGAGCCGGAGGTCGCTTCTAGCAGAACCGTTTCCCTCGTGAGTTTCAAGAGACCAGAATAAAAAGCGCGCCACGTGCGGGCCGCGTGAGCGGGGTCGCCCAGCGTCAGGTGCAGAGGGCCCGGCTTCCCGGAGCCTGAGTGGCCTGGTGGCCCAGGGCGCGGTGGCGCAGGGCTGCTCCCACGTTAGGGACGCCCGAGACCATCCCAGGTGCATCCTTCCCTGGAAGGACCCAGAAGGAAGCAACACTGCTACTCTCGGTCACGGTTTATGACAGCGAGGACCCGGGTCGGGTCAGCGGCGGGAGAAGGGGCGTCGGGCGGCCCCCCCGGAGAGGCGAGGCCCGCAGCCCGACGGCCCCTCCCAGGGCGCTACTCCCGGCCAACCGCTGGTGCCAAGCGGCGAGGTGCCCTGGAGCCTGGCCACCCAGGGTGTTACGGGCCGAGGCACGTTTACTGGCTGCTTTGTGCCTCGCCCCCAAGGCCAGCTGTCACCGTGCAGCCCACAGCCACCCCCGACCCCGTTGGCAGCGTGGCCGGGACAGCGTGGCCCAAGGACCCCAGGGAGGAAAAGAGGCTCGTCCAGCAGGACCTTCCCAGGGCTTGGGGCGACCTGCCAGGAGCTGGGGGCAGTGGCCGGACGGAGGTCCTTGCAGCCAAGGGAGCGGGGGTCCCTAACCGGCGTCGAGGGGCCGGGAGCCCGCGGTCCCTCTGGGGCCTCTGACTGCTCCTCCCACGACACGACACAGGTGGACAGAGGACGGGCCTTCGGGCTCGGTCAGGGGACCCGCTTTCCAGTAACCCGTTGGAGAAGGTGGAGGATTCCAGGGCCGGGCTCCCAACCTGCTGACGGAAAAAGAACTGGCCCTGAGACACATGGGCCGCTGTCAGCAACCCTGGGGGGACCCCGCTCAGTTCCGTGCGGCGGCTGGGGGTCACTTGTACGCAACGTCAGAATTAAATACGGGACACAGAACCTCACTTTCAGGCACGGCCACTGTGCCACCAGCACCTAGTACCTAGCAACGTAGGCGCCCAGCCAAAGCCTCCAGAGTGCAGGAATCCCCGGCAAAAGAAACCTCATTCATTCACTCATTCACTCATTCACTCATTCATAGGCAGCATGACCAACACCCTGGGCCCCCTGCCCAAACTAAAAAGCAGTCAACAGGGGCAGCCCGGTGGCTCAGCAGTTTAGCGCCACCTTCAGTCCAGGTCCTGATCCTGGAGACTAGGGATCGAGTCCCACGTCCGGCTCCCTGCATGGGGCCTGCTTCTCCCTCTGCCTGTGTCTCTGCCTCTCTCTCTCTCTGTGTCTCTCATGAATAAATAAAATCTTAAAAAAAAAAAAGCAGTCAACAGCAACTAACATCCTCTCTTACTAGCATTTTCTCCATCCTGGAGATTGGCACAACTTCAAATCCAAGCAAGCACGTCATCAGGGAGGAGACCCAGGGCCACCGAGGCTCGGGCAGCGTAGAGCCCGTGTCTCCAAGTCCTGACGCCTGCATGGCACCAGGTGAGACCCGAAGTCTCCACCCAAGCGACACTGGGCCTGCGTCAGGTCTCTGTTGACAGGGCGTGGGTCGCCACCGCCCATCTGCGCCCCAGAGCATGACTGAGTGCTTCATGTCCTCATCAAGGGACGAGAAAAGACCAGCCAAGTCGGTTCCTCGAAAATGAATTGCATTAAAGCCTTATTATCCTTCAACGGACATGCTCTTCCTCCACTTCTGGCCCTACAGTGTACCTTCATGAAATGGCAAACATAAATTATAGTAGTTTCTTCTATAATTTCATACTTGGAAAGGGGTGGCGATCCTGTGTCTTCCTCCCCAATCCTACTCTGCTCCTGACCTATGAAATCCAGAATTCTGGGAACCCTGGTCTACTTCAAAGTCCTCGTTTTACAGAAAATGAAGTAGACTCAGAGAAAGAAAGCCTCTAACTAGTGAGTGCTGCAACCCAGCGGGTTGGACGTGGAGGTTTGGGGGTTTCTTCTTTTTAAGATTTTATTTATTTGAGCACGAACTGCGGGGGGGGGAGGGGCAGAAGGAGAGGGAGAGAGAATCACAACCAGACTCCCCGCTGAGTGCAAAGCCAGATGCAGGACTTGATCCCACAACCCCAAGATCATGACCTGAGCTGAAATCAAGAGTTGGATGCTCAGGACGCCTGGGTGGCTCAGTGGTTGAGCGCCTGCCTTCGGCCCAGGGCGTGGGATCGAGTCCCGGGATCGAGTCCTGCATCGGGCTCCCTGCATTGCAGCCTGCTTCTCCCTCTGCTCTCGCTCTCTCTCTCTCTCTCTCTCTCTCTCTCTCTCTGTCTCTGTCTCTCATGGATAAATAAATATTTAAAATAAATCACTTTAAATAAATAAATAAAATCTTAAAAAAAAAAGGTTGGACGCATTTAATAGGACCTCAGAGTAGTGTAGCTGTGGACAGCCCCTTATGCTGCTGCCCCTGCGTTCTTTCTAGGTTGTGGATTTTTCTTAATGCCTCGAGGAATTGCATACTTGAAAGGTTTGTTTGAGATAGGTAGTGAGCCTCTTATGGAAACATTTTTACTAAGTAAAAATTCAGATGTTTCCTGAATAGAAAAATTGTCCCATATTAAAACCTAAGTTTCCCAGAACATTTGTAAGAAGCCTTTGGAATCATCTTCGTTCTGTTGTTCGGGATGGACCAGAAATGCTCAGTCATCTATAGCCACACATTTTCTATCTTTAAAAACAAAAAAAGAAGAAGTGCCCATATTTTCTACCATATTTGACCTTGCAAAACTTGAGTACAAAAAAAAAAAAATCAAAATTAAATGCAGCCTCCCAGGGTGAAAATTTGACCTCAGTGAGGACAAAAGGATTCCAGTCACCAGATGTCTGGGCCTGCAGGCCCTGGGGCCTCAGGGAGCCTGGGACGATGGCCTTGACACTCATCCCCCCCCCAGCCCCACCCTGCCTCTGTCTCCATCTGGTGGTGGCACAGCCCCACACCCTCGGCCAAGCCAGAAACCCAGCCTGGAGTCGTAGATCCTGGAGACTGTGCCTCCAGACCCATCTCTCTGCCTGCCCTGTCCCACCTTTGCTCTTGGCCTCTATCCTTCCCTTGACGGCATCTCAAAACAGTGATCACATCCCCCTCTTGTTTAAAACCCTTGAGGGGCTTCACATGGCACTCAGATGAAGCCTGAACTCCTTCCCACATCCCATGTGTCCATCACTGGCCTCTCTTTCTCACCTCTTTTCCACCCCAGGGCCTTTGCACAGGCCATCATTGCCCACCCCATCCCCAGAGTCACATGGCTGACTTCTTTCTATCCTGCACGTGTAAACGTCAGTGTTTTCTCTTGAGAGAGGCCTTCTCTGACCACCCTGTCAAGCTTGGGAACTCCCCATTTCCTTCCGAGCCCTGATACAATCTGTAATTATATTTGTTCCTTAGTCAAGTGCTTCCACCAGTAGATGGGGACCTCGGCAGCTCTTTCATTTGTCCCCTAGTACTCAGCTCCATCTCCATGCAACAGGGTACTTGGCTCACTGGGTGAAGTGGTTGAGGGTGCAGAGGGCTGGGACACACACCAGGGACTGTGTGTCTGCAGCAGGAAGGGCCGTGGGAACAGGACGCCTGCTCGTTGCAACATTTTGATGCTCAGCAGCGAGGTGCTGATGAGCAACACAGACATCCCACTTCTGTGTAACCAGGACAGCCCAGCAAATCAGGTTCAAATGTGCATATCACGACAGGGAATGGGCAGGACTACAGGCGGGCTCCCCCCATGAAAGTGGGGGATGCTCCAAGCAAAGGGACACATAAAAGATCCATGGATGGGGGAGGCATGAAGTTTTGCTGGGCTAGGCTGTCACCAGAGTGGCCAGGGAGAGTGGCCTCGACCCTGCAGGCCTGGGTCACTGAAGCCCACCAATTCTTCTAAGGAATTTGGACTCTAGCCTGCAGGCAGTGAGAAGGTGGTAAGGAATTCTACGCAGGGGGTCGATAAGGTTAGAGGTGGCAGGTGACACTCCAGTCCCTCAAGTGGAATGTACCCTTTGATCACCGGGTCAAGGCTGAAGACTGGGAAAACAGGCCCAGGTGGCTTCATCTGACATCTTGTGTTAAGCACAACGGAGCAACGTGTTCAAGATTTCCAAGAAAATAGGAGGCAAGGATGATTAGGGTTTTTTTGTTTGTTTTTGTTTATAGCCAGTGAATCTGATAATTGGCTTTGAAAAGCAGAGAAAGAATTACAAGGATGCAGGAGTTCCTTCCCTTGAGCCCTTCCTGAGGAACATCCTGCAGAACAAGCTTCAGAAAACCACAAAATCAGGGGGTCAGGTGGTCAAGCATCTGCCTTCAGCTCAAGCCATGATCCCAGGGTCCTGGGACCGAGCTCCGCATCAAGCTCCCTACTCAGCCCAGAGCCTGCTGCTTCTCCCTCTCACTCTGTGCCACCACCCCTCTCCCCCCCACACATGCTCTCTCTCTCTCTCTCTCAAATAGATAAAAATCTTTTAAAAACAAGTTTTTTTAAAGAAGGAGGCTTTAATGTCTCTCAGATTCAGACATCAAATTAAAAAGAGAAAATTTTTTAAAAAAATTTAGAAGCAAAGTAGATCTAAATAAAATAAGGTGGATCATGCAGATGGACATCAAAGTCTAGTCTTTAAATCAGAGAACACTGCTTTTTAAGTTCACCTGCAATATTTATGAAAACTGATCACACACTAAGCCACAAAAATCTGAAATTCCAAACAGAATAACACAACAGCACTCTGCCCGCCATGTGACAAAACTGGAAATTAAGAACAAAACGTCCTCAAAGGTCTTTCCACCTAGAAAATTTTAACCCACCAAATAACTCCAAGATCAAGAGAGAAATACAAATTCACTGCAGCATTTCTCAGAATAATAGTAACTAAACGATGACATATCAGAATCTGTGGGATGCAGCCAACATTATACTTAGACGTAAATTCATAGCTTTAAAAATCCATATCAAAAAATTTTAAATAAGTTGAATATCCAACATAAAAAGCTGCAAAAAGGGGAGTCTGGGTGGCTCAGTTGGTTAAGCATTGGACTTATTTCAGCTTGGAGCAGGATCTCAGGGTCGTGAGATCAAGCCCTGTGCTGGGCTCCACATTCAGCAGGGAGTCTGCTTCTCACCCTCTCCTTCTGCCCCTCCTCTGCTCACTCTCTCTCTCTCAAATAAATAAATTAAAAAAAAATATTTTAAGATTATATTTATTTGACACAGAGAGAGAGCACACATGCACAAGCAGGGGGAGCTGTGGGCAGAGGAAGAGGGAGAAGCAGGCTGAAGGCAGATGCCCAACCGACTGAACGACCCAGGGGCCCCTAAATTTTTTTTTTTTTTAAGTTACAAAGCAACAAGGTAAAAAAATTTTTTAAAAAAAGGTAAAAAAAAAAAAAGCAACAAGGTAATATTATTAAAAGCAGAAAGTAGGGATCCCTGGGTGGCGCAGCGATTTGGCGCCTGTCTTTGGCCCGGGGCGCAATCCTGGAGACCCGGGATCGAGTCCCACATCGGGCCCCCAGTGCATGGAGCCTGCTTCTCCCTCTGCCTGTGTCTCTGCCTCTCTCTCTCTCTCTCATTCTGTGACTATCATAAGTAAATAAAAAAAAAAAGCAGAAAGTAAAAGGATGTCTAACATTAGTTATTAGGAAAACGTAAATTAAAATCATTATAATCTACAGCTACGTGAATAACTATAATTAAAAACCTGACAACATCAAGTATTTAGAAGGTAGGGTAACAGGAGCTCTCATTCATCACTGGTGAGGATGTGAAATGGTGTGGCCACTTTGGAAATCAATCTGGTAGTTTCTTTCAGATTAAACATATACTTTCCACTTACCATATGGCCCAATCATTCCATTTGTAAGCCTTCCTAAATACCAGAAAAAAAAAGTATTTGTTTACCCAATAGAAGTGAAATCATATTTCTTCCAGTCTTATATCAGAATGTTTAGAGCAGCTTTGCTGGCTTTTTTTAAGGAGGCTCAAACTCACAACACTGAGATTGAGACCTGAGCTGAGGGCCAAGAGTCAGATGCTCAACCACTGAGCCACCAAGGCACCCTGCAGCTTTACTTTTAATTGCCAAAAATTGAAACACAAAATACCTACCAACTGTGAATGAAAAACAAGTTGGTTGTATCTGTACAATGGAATACTCCTCACCAATTAAAAAAAAAATTTTGAATGAACCACTGATACATTTAATGTGGATGAATCTCAAAAACTTTATTCTAAGTGAAAAAATTTAGATACCAAAAGCTACATGATGTTTGATTCCTTTTGCTATGATCTTTAGGGCAGAGGAGCTCTAGAAATCTGATCAGTGGTTGCCAGGACCTGGGGTGAAGAAGGAACAACCACAGAAGGGCATAGGCAGCTTTTTGGGGGTGATGGGGAAACTCCACATCTTAATTGTAGTGGTGACCACACAGCTTATATGTGTTTGCCAAAATTTACAGAATACTATGTTTAAAGGTGTGAATCTTGCCATATTTAAACTATATCCCAATAAACCTGCCTTAAATAAATAAGCAAAAATTTTAAAATAATAAAGACTAATATTGGGTCCAATGATCTAATGGAACACCAAGGGTTGGTCTGAAAAGAAAGCAGAGTGTAACAACAAAAACATTTTTTATTATTCTAAAAGCAATAATTCATTAAGAAAAAGAAATTGAAAAGAATTTTTAAAAAACAAAAAGTAGGAATAAAGAAAAAAGGGTTGAAATTTAGTGAAGTTTGAAACCAGAAAAAAAGTAAAACTGATAAATTACTTTTCAAAAAAATCAACAAATAAATGAGTCACTAGCCAGTTGTTTTTTTTTTTTAATGGCACGTCAACCCCTAAATATCCAAAGTAAATAATAACAAATGAAAAATAAGCATTAATACAGAGGACATTTTTTAAAATCATAAGAGACTGCTTTGCACAATAGTTGTAGATAAATTTGAAACCCATTTGAAATGGATAATTTTCTAGGAAAATATAACTCTAACCCCAGACAAGAAAGTCTAAACCAGAAGTGATTTTAAAAAATGCTTGAAGAACCTCCACTTAACCATGCTGTTATTAATCAGGGTTTTCCAGAGATATAGAACCAATAGGTTCGATGGACGGATGGATGGGCAGATGGACAACAGATTTTAAGGAACTGGTTCATGTTATCACAGAGGCTGGCAAATCCAAAATCTGCAAGGTAGTCTGGCATTCCAGAGATCCAGGGAAGAGCCAGTGGTGCAGTTCAAGGCTGAAGGCCATCCGCTGTCAGACTTTTGGTCTATTTTGGCCTTCAACTGATTGGATGAGGCCCATCCACATTATGGAGAGCAATCTGCTTTCCTCAAAGCCCACGATTTAAATGTTAATCTCTTCCCAAAACACCCTTACCGAAACATCCAGAATACGTTTGACCATATATCTGGGTACCATGGCCCAGCCAAGTTACCATAGAAAACGATCTATCACAAGTCCACCCCATGTCAATGTGGCACCCACAAGCTTCTCCTTAATCCATACTTAATCTCCAAACAAGGACAAAAACAAGGTCATAACTCCACACATGATACATGTGAAAACACCCTGCCAGGATAGGGTGTGCTCAAAGAAGGAATGCGTTAAAGAATGTTAAAAGTGCACAGGAGACAATTTGTAGAGGCTTTCGCTGTTCCAAATGGAGACTGATTTGAGCACATCTATGTTTGGATGAAACAAGGAAGTTCCCAAACAGTGTGCATAGAATCGTAGTATGTGCGTACCCATATATATAGTAACTTAAAATGTAATATATACCAAATATCATAGAATATGTGTGTATTTATATATTTATATATATAAAACGTTATAAGTTTCTTCACCTATTAACGTTATATATATAACATTATATATATAAGTATTCTAAGGACATCTATCTTTCTGGAACATTCTGGCATACCTGCACTGATTTTACAAACAGACATCACCTTATTAAGAAATCGTGTCAGGGGGATCCCTGGGTGGCGCAGCAGTTTAGCGCCTGCCTTTGGCCCAGGGCGCTGTCCTGGAGACCCGGGATCGAATCCCACGTCGGGCTCCCAGTGCATGGAGCCAGCTTCTCCCTCTGCCTGTGTCTCTGCCTCTCTCTCTCTCTCTCTGTGTGTGTGACTATCATAAATAAATAAAAATTAAAAAAAAAAGAAAAAGAAATCGTGTCAGAAAGGCAGACAGAACATGAAGACTCCTAACTCTGGGAAACGAACTAGGGGTGGCGGAAGGGGAGGAGGGCGAGGGGTGGGGGTGAATGGGTGATGGGCACTGAGGGGGGCACTTGATGGGATGAGCACTGGGTGTTATTCTGTATGTTGGCAAATGGAACACCAATAAAAAATAAATTTATTATAAAAAATAAAAAATAAAAATGAATAAAAAAAAGAAATCGTGTCCAATGCCTCAGTACAGCATCCAAAACAGCCAGGCCCAGCTTGCCTTTAGGCTGTGACGCAGACTTGTAATCCCCCTTCTCACCACCAGGGGTCACCAGGAGGCGGGCCACCAGCCATCTCCCTGCCACGCCCCCGCATATGGAACACCTGCTTTGAGCCTCCAACCCTTCAACCCTTTTTACATAATCCCTTGTCTGACTGTTCCTTAAACTGAACTCTCTGTCCTCCTCGACATGTGCTTCCAGGACCACACATTCTAAAGGACTTTCAATGAAATTAAACTCTGTGGGATAAGAGGAACAAACACCAGCTAATCAGTTACATTTCTCCTGCCTGGCAGTCACTGGCTCTTCAAAGCCCGAAGAGGGGGAAACACAGAAACAGCACTTCCTGAGCGCCGACGACAGGCTGGACTGTGCCTGTGCACACAGCATCTTACTGAATTCTCACAGGCTGGTGGTGTTCGTCCCCATTTTTCAGATGAGAACACTGAGGTTCTGAGAGATTATGTGATTAACCCAAACTCACTAGTCAAAGGTAGAGTCAGAATTCAGAGGCAGGCCAGTGGGCTCCTAAGACCTTGCTTTGCCCTCTGGAAAGCCCTCATTGGTCCCCAGATCTATGGATGAAGCAACTGAAAACCAGTGTGTGTTGGTGGCAGACGCTCGGGCCTCAGGTGTCCAGGTATGCAGAACATGCCCTTGCTCGTGCTCCCTGGGCCTTCAAGTCCGGTATGTACCCAGCCACGGCCAGTGCAGATATATGAAGGCCTGACGTCTCTCTCTGACTTGCCATACTGGTCAAAATTCAAAAAGAACAACAGTCCGGGACGCCTGGCTGGCTCAGGGGTTGAGCATCTGCCTTTGGCCCAGGGCGTGATCCTGGAGTCCCGGGATCGAGTCCCACGTTGGGCTCCCTGCATGGAGCCTGCTTCTCCCTCTCTCTCTGTGTCTCTCATGAATAATATCAAAAAAAAAAAAAAAAGTCAAAGAAAGTTTGCTTCCATCCTCTGCACTCTCCCCCCACACCAGCCAGCCACCCAGCTCGATCCCACGAGGCAAAGTGTGTCACACACCTGTATTCTGTATAATACACCTGTATTATATATATATATATAAGTATTCTAAGGACGAATAATTCTAATTTCCAGAAATTATTTTATGTGCCTATGAGCTAATGCAGAATTTGTTCAGAGTCACAGCGTCCTGATTAGGCATCCCCTGAAACGCAAAGGCAGCGTCCCCTGACGTTAATGTAATGGGTTGGTCCCCGGCCTAGGGAGCCGGGTGAGCTGCGCAAGGCCACCCAGCCGTGCAGTCGAGGCTCCGAGTCCGGGGATGGCCGTCTGACCCGGGCAGGCCTCTGGGTCCTGCTCTCCCCTCGACCCCCTGCTCGTCCATGTCCCCTTTGTGCGTGCATTTCTCTCCGTGGCCCGCTCTTCCCCGCCTGCCTCCCTTCCCATGATCTTTCTCTCTCCCCGCTATAACCACTTAGGAATCCTCACCTAGGGGCAGCCCGGGGGGCTCAGCGTCCTAGCCTGTTCCTGGAGCCCCGGGATCGAGTCCCGCGTCGGGCTCCCTGCGTGGAGCCTGCTCCTCCCTCTGCCTGGGTCTCTGCCTCTCTCTCTCTCTCTCTGTGTGTGTTTCTCAAAAATAAATAAATAAATCTTTAAAAATAGAATAATAAACAAACCCTCATCCACCTGCAGTACTGCTCAATCTGAGTCAGAGGTGGGAGGATCCTAACGCCGGGGAGGACAACGCCCGCACTTTGCAGGTGGGGAAACCGAGGCCCAGAAGGCCTCCCCCACGAGCTCAGAGCCGGGCCCAGCCTTTGCTCAGCTGTTCCTCCCCGCCGGCCTCGCACTAACAGGCTCGGGCTCCGGCTGCGTTCAGCGCGGTCTCCCCCGAACACCGGCCTGGCCACCCCGCACTCTGCGCAACACCCCTCCGAGGATCAAACGCTCGCTTTGCTGCCTCCTCCTTCCTAGGAGAAGCCCGGTCGTGGCTCGGCGAGCCTCCACCTGCTGCTCGGGCCTGCCCTGGCCGCTCCCGCACCAGCTCTCCCCGGTGCCCAAGGCAGGGGCGCTCACCTCCAGCCGCGCCGCCTCGCCTGTCTCCCGACCCCCGACCCCCGACCCCCGACCCCCGGGCGCCCGGCCCGCGCCCATGCCCGCCCCAGCCGCTCCTGGTGCAGATGAAGGTGCGGAGGCGAGCAGAGCTCCCAGGGCGCGGGAAAATGACGCAAGCGGCGCGCGACGGGCACCCCGAAACGCGACGGCTCCGCTCCCGCCCGGGGCACTATGGGGATTACAGGCCCCAGCCCGACTCCGGGTCTCGCGGCGGAACGAGATTCACGCGGGTAACCTGCGGGCGGGAAGGGGAGGGCGAGGCTTCCAGGCCTCGGCGCAAAGTCCCGCCCCCTGGCTGGGATGGGCCAATCCCGAGGCCTCTCCGTTCCGGGCGCAGGGATTGGTCCCCTTGGTCACCTGACCGCACCGACTCTCGGTCACGTGACCGCGGCGGAGGCGTTCTCCGGTTGCCTGTGGCGGGAAAGGGCTGCGGCGCTGGGCCCGGGCCCGGAATCGAGGACGGCGGCGCCAGGGGGCTTCCCGCCGGTGCTGGGGGGCCCGGTGGGTCACCTGCTGGGGGAGGAGCCCGCCTGCCGGGCCGCGCGGTGGCCCGAGCGGTGCAGCGGGGCCTCGGGGGCTGACGGTGCAGCGGCGTGCTGAGCAGGGCGGGGCCTCCGTCCTCGGCCCGCTTCGGCCCGGGCGCCGGTGCCGGGCCCCTGGCGTTCGTCCTAGTTCTGTGAGACGCAGCTGGGTGAGCTCGAGGATGGGACTCAGACATTCCCCGCGGGCAGCGTCCCGCCCCGCCAGGTAGGAAGGAGCGCCGAGGGGCTACTAGGAAGCGGAAGGGGCCCGGAAGGGGAAGAGGGGATTGCCTGCCCCTGGGGAGGGCCAGGGGTCGGCCGGGCACATGACCGGGTAGTCATGTGCGTGCTGGCCGGGTGGTCCCAGGTCCCCTTCGTGGAGAGGCTGCAGCTGCAGTCAGGTGGGGTATTAGGCCGGGGACCGCCTAGCACAGGGGATTTCACCTGGGGCCTGTTTGTTATTTCACGTTACTAAACCTTGACAGCAGCAGGGAGTGGCTGGTAGTGTAGTTGAGGCCCACAGGCGGGGCGGGAAGTGGAGGAGCCGGGGTTGAACCCAGGCATCAGCCTGACCAGCCTGCTGATCCGCAGCCAGTGGCTTCTACAGCCTGACAAGCGAAGGTGGGCGCGCCAACAGGAGCACCCCCTCTCCGTGCCTTTCGGGGTCACCCCAGCCCGGATGACACCCTTTTTGCTCACGGGATTGATGACCTTGGAGGATGGAGCCAGCTGCTTCCCAGGCTCCGCTCCCGACTAGGGCACGACCGTTTGGTGTCTTGAGCCCATTAGACCAAGGACAGGAGGGTCTCAGGCAGAGCCAGGAAAAGAGAAGCAATGGGAGTGAGGAGCCTAGAAGCCAGACCTGGAAGGAGACGTGGGAGAAATGTGCAAGGCCCCCCCCCCCCCCCCGGAGAGAACCACCTGCAGCTTCATTCATTCTGTTCAGCGAGTATCTATCAAACACCTGCTCCCAGGCCCTTCTCTCTAGGTACTAGGGATATAGCATTGAGCAAGGAGGTAGAAATCCTCACCCTCCCAGGATTTACCTTCTAGTGCAGGAAAGAGACAATAAACAAGATGCAGTTCATACTGTATTAGAATTGGTGAGATCCACTGGGGGAAAAACAAAACAGAAGAGGTCCAGGGGCTGGGGACAGATTTACATAAAGGGCAGGGAAAGCCGTACTGAGAAGGGGAGTTTGAGGGAAGTGATGGAAGAGCATCCAGGCAGAGGGCACAGCACTTGCAAGAGGTGGGTGGATACCTGCAGCGATTGTCGGTTTGAGGATAGGCAATAGTCAGAGAGGTAACAGGTGGCCCCAAAAAGGACTTGGAATTTTAACCAAGATAAATCCATTATAGGGCTTTAAGACAGCTACACACACACACACACCATGAGTTGCTTTGTCTTCTTACCAAGCTGGACACCACCACCCCCCCGAGGCAGAAGGCACTATGCCTTCTGTTCCCAAAACCACACTGACATCTGTCATTTTTTGCCCAGGACAGGGCAGCAGCCCTCCTCCTTCCATTTGATCTTCCCATCTTTGATCCCCAGTCTAGGCTGTGGAATCTTCATGGGGAAAAGCTGGCCCTGACTGGTCCCATCTTCCTCTGCATCATTCATGGCCCAGGTCTCTGAGCTCTGAGGCTGCCACGCAGGGTGTACACATGCTTGGATGGCCAGTACCGGTGAAATCTCCATGTGGTGTGCCCTAACAACGCCCAGCCTGTGGTCTCAGAGGCTTACCCGTGACAGTTCAGGCCAGAGGTTGCAAGAGGACCATGCCGCACCTCCAAGAGGGACTCAGCCCTCATCCTGGAGACCCCACCTGTCACTTGTGTTCCCAGCCCTGAAATGGGACTGTATTTCCATCATCAGCCCCAGTATCTGGAAACCTGGTGCTCCCAGGTCTCAAAAAGCTTGTGGTCTGGGAGTATAGTTGGGGTGCTGAACCATGGGCCCAGAGATGTGATGCTCACAGCCAAGGGCGGGGCCTGCTGCCGTACAATGCAGCATGGCCACTTCACAGCCTTGCCCCCAGTTCCAAAGTCACCCACCAGCCCCATCTTGTCCTCAATAGGAGGGGCTCTCTGGCTGGGCGATCATCACGACACCCCTTGCCTCGCTTTCTCTGCTTTAATAGACTATTTTTTTTTATTTATTCACTAGACACAGAGAGAGAGAGAGAGAGGCAGAGGGAGAAGCAAGCTCCACGCAGGGAGCCTGACATGGGACTCGATCCTGGGTCTCCAGGATCAGGCCCTGGGCTGAAGGCGGCGCTAAACCACTAAGCCACCTAGGCTGCCCTTAATAGAATCAAAAAAAAAAAAAAAGTATTAAGACTTACAGGAAAATTGAGAGTGCAGAGTGCTCATATAACCCCACTCACAGACACGGTTTGTCTTGTTATTAATGCCTTATATTAGTCTTGTACATTTGCTACAATTGGGGAAAAACAATGCTGATACTTTTTTTTTTAATTTATTTATTTTAGAAAGAGCAAGAGTACAAAAGGAGGGAGGTACAGAGGGGGAGAGAAAGAACCCCCAAGCAGACTCCCTGCTGAGCACAGGGCCCCTGAGATCACCACCTGAGCCGAAATCGAGTTGGACGCTCAACCCACTGAGCCACCCAGGTGCCCATAGATGGATTATTATTAACTAGAGTCCATAGTTCAGATTTTCATACTTTTTCCTTAATTTTTCTGGGCCAGGGTCCCCTCAAGGACACCACATCACATGTAGCTGTCCACCTCACTTTTTCCTGAAGGTGCCATATACAGAGAGGAGGTTAAAGCAGCATGTAACTGCTTACCTTTTCCTTGGCTTTAAGTCTGTAAATGCTGGGGATGGGGCTGCGTTTTGGTGTTCTGCATGACAGGAGAGCGGAGTAGGATGCTGGGTCCTTGCACAGGCAGGACACTGAGAGGAACTTCACCCTCCAGTGTCCCTTGTCCGAACTCTCCCTTGGGTTGTGGGTGGCGGGGAGCAGGGTTTAAAGGGAAGTGAATTTATGTTTGGGATGATGAGGACATCCTGGACATGGGTGGTGGTGGTAGCTGCACAGATTTGCAAATGTCCTTCAAGGATTGATTGCCCGATTGCACACTTACACGTGGTAAAAATTGTGAGGTTTATGTATTTTTTTACCACAGTGTTGTGTTTTTTTTTTTTTTTAAGTGAAGAAATAAAGATGCAATATAAACAAGACTTCTGGCACTTACTTTGGCAGCACGTATACTAAGCAAGACTTCTGCTCTTTGCTCTTCAATAAAGGAAACCCGTATATTTCAAAACAAAATGAAAGTGCCCCTTGGAGGCCTTATAAGTAAGTTTCCTCCATAGACTTGAGATCAGCGATCTGTGCAGCCGGGGTTCCAGCATAATCACCTTTACTATTACTACTAATAATGGCATTAGTAGGGCTGCCTGTGATGGACCACTCACCGTGCTGGCAGCTTTACCACTTGGTCTCCTTCATTCCTCGCACAGCCCCAGGGGCAGGTATGTGCATTAGTCTCATTTAAAGAAGGGGCACTTAGCACAGAGAGGTTAAGGGACTCACCGGAGGCTACACAGCTGGTAGTAGCAGTGCCAGGATCCTGTCAGAGCCAGGCCCTTCTCACCACCCATTGCAGGGCTTGCAACCAGCCCTAACTCCAAAACCATCCTCATAACGGAGGTGTGTCCTTCGACAAGCCACGGGTTGAGGCTGGTGTGTGGCTGCAGGATACTCCATCTGGTCAAAATGAGGACTAGTAGGACGCCTGGGTGGCTCAGCAGTTTAGCTCCTGCCTTCGGCCCAGGGGGTGATCCTGGGGTCCTGGGATCGGGTCCCACATCGGGCTCCCTGCATGGAGCCTGCTTCTCCCTCTGCCTGTGTCTCTGCCCCCTCTCTCTCTCTCTCTCTCTCTCTCTCTCTCATGAATAAGTAAAATCTTAAAAAAAAAAAAAAGGGACTAGCAAAAGGACGGGTTAGTCACCTTCTTAAAACAAAAACCCTACAATAATGGCCATGTTTATTAAGCACATCGCTCTCTATTGTAAGATAGTTTCCCTAAGTATCACCATAGATCTCTAACCCCACAGGGGCTGGGCTTTGATGTTCCCCCCAAAAAGAGCCCCATAGCAAGTAACTTGGGAGATGTTGCATCTTCCTCTGCCCCCCAAAGATTCAAAGGACCTTTTAGAGGCTCTGAGAATTCCTCTCGTGAAAAAAACTGGTTAAGCTTTGTCTAATCCAGCGATTCCTGATCTTACTTGACCCTAGCACCCATTTTCATTACAAGAGCCATTGACCGGGGCACCTGGCCAGCTCAGTCACTACAGCATGCAACTCTTGATCTCAGGGTCATGAGGGTCATGAGCCATGCCCACACTGGGCATGGAGCCTACTTTAAAACAAAAAGACAAAAAAAAAACCACTGACAGCCCCAGGCCTCCAAATTGCCACGCACACCTGCCTGTGCCATACTGGGCAACATGCTTTGCAGTACGGGGTCCTGCTTTGTTTTGTCTTCACTCTAGGTGAGGAATGGAAGTGCAGGGAGGCTCGATGTCTTACTCGTGGTCCTCTGCTTGCTCAACTTAGAAAACACTAGGGACGCCTGGCTGGCTCAATCAGTAGGGCATGTGACTCTTGATCTCAGGGTCACAAGTTCAAGCCCCACGTTGAGTACAGAGATTAACTTAAAAATTAAATCTTAAAAAATAAATACTAGAGTTTTCAACATAGAGAAACACCAACTGATGTCAAACTTAAAAGAAAAACTGGCTGGCAGTGCCAGGAGATGCCAGCAGCTGCTGAGATAAAATTATAACATCTTCTGATAAGCCATTTTATGTCCTATCCCTTTTAGGGTGAAGAAGGGTTTTGTCTTGTCAATAAAAATGTACACGTGTTCCCCTGCCTCCAGTCATGGTGAAAGTGACCATTGCACTGAAGTCAAACAAAATCCTAACCTAGCAGGACACTGTGTCCTGTGCTTTGCACCTCACCAGACCCAGGGCATTCTGCTGGAATTTTGTGGTTGTCTCTGTAAAATTTTACATTCTTTGAAGTAGGAGGTTCTTTCTTCCAAGTAAACACTTGTATGCTTAACCTGAGCAGGTTTTTGGATGGTCATGTGGTTGCTTTAGGCCAGCAGTAGGCTTCCCTCAGCAAGAAGGAAGGAGATTCAGCCTCTGCCTATCCCGAGGTCCTGGGGTGAAAGATCTTACGGAATTTTTGAAAAAGATTTTGGTTGTTTATTTGAGAGAGCACAAAGGGCAGAGGGAGAGGGAGAAGCAGACTCCCACTAAGCAGGGAGCTCGATGCAGGACTCAATCCTAGGACCCTGGGATCATGACCAGAACAGAAGGCAGATGCTTAATGGACTGAACCACCCGGGCGCCCCATATCTTATGGAATTAAATAAAATTGAGTAAATATCCACCAGAGCCTATTCAGTTTCTAGCCCAGCACTGCCCTGCTGGCAAGGAGGGAAAGTCAACGAGGGCAGCAGGCAGCTACAGACACCCCCACACACACTCCCCTCACCCCCCAGGGATGGAGAGGAACAGGACCAGAGCCCTGGAGTTTGGGGATCAGGGGCTGGGGCCTGCAATTACACTGAGAAGCCACTAGGTTTCAGGATGCCTCTGGCTTGGGCTGGGTCCCCGCAGGCTGACAGCGGCACCTGTTCCTCTAAGCACCCTCAGATCACGGTTTGCACCAAGTTCATGCTCTGTAGATGGAAAACAAGCTCAGGGAGCAGGTGCTGGTCAACATTTGGGAGAGAGGGAGGGAGCACTGGAGGCCGGCCCATGCCTGGTGCTACACTGGGGAATGGTAAAATGATGGAACAGGATCCAGCCCATGCCCTTCTAGGGGTTTACAGTCTCCAGGCAAGGACAGTATCTGAGTCTGAACCCCTGCTCCGCCTCGTTACCTGTGAGACCTTAAACAATTACTTCCGCTCTGAACCTGCTACCTCCACGTCCTCAAACTGCAGCAGTAATAACCTCCGTCTCTAGTGCTGTGAATGTAGCAGTTCGGACCGGCCAGCTCATCACAGTGGTGCCACAGCCCAGGCATCACGGGCACGACTCCAGCCACAGACTCGGGGGTGCGGGCAATCCCACGGACTCCATTCCTGTAACAGCCTCGCTTCTGGCCCAAGCCTCACATTCCACGATGCCATGGGCAGCGCACCACGGACACCAGTTTCAGAGTCCTGCCCCCTTCCTAAGTCAGGACTCATGCAGGGATAGGGCCCTGTGGGGTGCCTGCTGCCACGGCCTATCTGTCCACACTGGTCATTGCCGGCCCCATGGAGTCCCACACTCCAGTGCTGTCCGCAGCCTTGCTGGGCATGTGGGCCTCTTTGGGCAGCCTGCCTGCTAGGGTCCTGTCACCTGGGTGCCATACCCCTCCTGCATCATTCACTGGGCACTGGAGGCAGCAGGCCCAGAACCTCCTCACCCTAGACCAGGGGAATGGCCCCGTGGTCCAAGATGCTTCATCAACCCTGCTTCTCCAGGACACCTTGCCCACAAGGAAGACACCAGTTCTGCTGTCCCTCTTCCATTCCCCTTGTTCTCCTAAGGGCTTGGGTTTTGAGGAAAATAAAAACAAAGTTCAGAAGATCCACAGGCCCCTTCTGCTTCAGCCCCAGGCCAAGAAGTCCCCCTTGAATGCAGAGAAGGAAAAGTAAGATGGGGGGGGGGCAGGATTTCAATATACGCGGTCCCTGCTCTGCATGGTTCCAATATGCAGAAATTTTCATTACTACGGTCTAATTAGATCACATTAGTCCCCCAACAACTCAGTTCAAGTACCAGCTACCCTGTGTCTTAACCGAGTAGCTGCCCCGGGTACAGACTTCGGGGAGCTCTCCAGCCCGCAGATGACTTCATGAATGACAGCTGTGCATCGTGATCAGCGACCACCTGGCGCTTCTTGCAAAGTCCGTGGGTCACTGGTCACCACGCGTGCTCCTCGGTTCCCACACAGCCAGCGAAATCGGTAGGTGTGCCCTCTTCCGTGACAAATACACTTGATATTTTACAGAAGTGCATCCCGGAAGCAGGGACCTGGCTGTCCCAGGTGAGCCAGCAGCGAGGAAGAGGAGTGTTAACCCTGGAGGTCACAATCGGGGTCCCAGAAGAAAGCGCCGCCGAGGGGCGCAGATGCAAGCGGCCAGAGGAGCCTGGCGAGGCCCACGCCACGAGAAGGACCGTGTCCCGAGCCAGTGCCATCGGGAAGACTTCACACCGAAGGAGCCCTCGGAGATGCTTCCCACGGCTCCAAGAGCACAGGCAACGCTGGAGCTGATCCCAACCCGGGAGGGCCGGTGACAGCTGGGAAAGGCCCAGAAGAGATGCTCGCAGCGCATCCTAGGTTACACCACGGAACAGGCAAGCCCTGCTCATACTGCTCCTGGTAAGTTTTTTTTCTTATAATTGTGGTTAAATCCTCGTAGTATGCAGTGCACCACCTTAACTGCTTCCACGTGGCCAGTCCTGTGGCATCAAGTACGTCCACACCGCTGGGCAAACAGGGACTGCCCCACAGACTTGTGTGTCCGTGTTGTGCAGAGACACGCTCATCTTTCTGGGTCGTTCCGATTTTACCACCTGTGCTGCTTTTCGAACAAAGAAATAAGCACCATCACTCTCAATGCCTCTGATATTTTAAGTTAGAGTGTAGTAAATAAATATTAGTTTTACTATTTCTATTTGCCTGTGTATTTATAACCAAGGGGAAAGTTTGTAATGTTTGGGAAGTCACTGAACAATCACACTGGTCCGGCAGATTTTTTTTTCTCTCCACGTGTCCATTTAAAAATTACTTGTATTGAGATAAAATTCACCACTTTAATCATTTTAAAGTGTATGATTTGGGGGTTTCTGTGTATTCACAGTGTCCTGCAACTATCAAGATTGCTTTGCATGGGGACGCCTGCGTGGCTCAGTGGGTGAGCGCTGCCTTTGGCTCAGGGCGTGATCCCGGGGTCCTGGGATCGAGTCCTGCATCAGGCTCTCTGTGGGAAGCCTGCTTCTCCCTCTGCCTGTATCTCCACCCCTCTCTCTCTGTCTCTCATGAATAAATAAAATCTTTTAAAATAAAATAAAAAATAAAAAGATTGCTTTGCATAATCTCAGTTTGCAGAATCATTTTTACTGTCCTGTGTGTCTTTTGGTGGACACAGTTCAACCCCCAACAAATGACCTCCCAAGTCCCCAGATATCCCAACAATCTTCATGAGGATGCACTGAGAACTTCGTATTCATATCCCCTCTTCTTAAAGTCTTTTTTTTTTTAAGATTTTATTTATTTATTCATTCATGATAGAGAGAGAAAAAGAGAGGCAGAGACAGAAGCAGGCTCCATGCAGGGAGCCCGACGCGGGACTCGATCCCTGGACTCCAGGATCATGCCTGGACCGAAGGCAGGCGTCAAACTGTCGAGCCACCCAGGGATCCCCCTCTTCTTAAAGTCTTGAGGAGGGGCAGCCCGGGTGGCTCAGTGGTTTGGTGCCGCCTTTAGCCCAGGGCCTGATCCTGGATCAAGTCCCACGTCAGGCTCCCCACAGGGAGCCTGCTTCTCCCTCTGCCTGTGTCTCTGCCTCGCTCTCTCTCTCATGAATAAATAAATAAGATCTTTAAAAAAAAAAAAAAGTCTTGAGGAGAGGAAGGGGTGACATTTCGATCAGGAATGGAGGTAAACTGCAAAGGCTTGAATTAGACCCAGGGTTGACGTGTGTATGTGACACATGGGCACTTAGTGCACATTTGTAACGTTACAGAAATAAGCTGTGACAGGTTCTTAAGAAGAAGAAGGCTTTTTTTTTTTTTTAAGAAGAAGGCTTTGATGTGTATATAACTTAGTTGCTGAATAATACTTTTTTTTTTCTTAGTTTTTTAGTTCTGTTAGAATCACAGTGTAATTCACCTGGAGAGAACAAACGTACTCTGTTTATTTACTCATGCCCCAAAGATTTATTCCACAATAAATGGGAGAGCAAGATGCAGTTCCAAGCACAGACATACTAAGATTTGCCATTATCAAGAGAAAGTCCTTGACCTCATGGAATCAGATTCTAGTTGGGGGCATTCACCGTGAGTGAGAAGCACAGATAAGTATTGTGCAGAGAAACATGCTCTGAAGACAATAAGGTGATAAAGGGGCAAGTAGTGGGGAAGGTGGTCAAAGAGGTCCTCTTGAGCAGACGGCTGATGAAGAGAAGGTGCTGATGAAGAGAAAGCGTGAACCCTTTAGGACTCTGGAGGAAGAGCATTCTAGAACAAGGGAAAGACCCCCAGGCTGAGGCATGCTTGGTATCACTGGGGACAACAGAGGGTCAGCACACCAAGGTGGACAGAGGTAGGTGATGGCTTTGGAGGCAAGCCAAGGACCCAGATCACTCAGGGCCCAAGTGGGCAAGCCAAGAACCATTCTCCAACTAAAAGGTGTGTGAAGCCACAGAGAACTGACCACTTTGACCTATGTTTATAAAGACTGTTCTCCTGGGGCCTACGGGTAGCTCTCAAGCAGCCCAGGGGAGGGCCAGTAGATTGTCACATAGGATTTTTTTTTTTAAGATTTTATTTATTTATTCATGAGAAACACAGAGAGAGAGGCAGAGACACAGGCAGAGGGAGAAGCAGGCTCCACGCAAGGAGCCTGATGTGGGACTTGATCCCGGGACTCCAGGATCACGCCCTGGGCCAAAGGCAGGCGCTAAGCTGCTGAGCCACCCAGGGATCCCAACACAGGGTTTTTAAAAAGCAAAAACCAACTATGTGCTGCCTGTAAGATACCCTCTTTAAATACAAAGGCCCAAATAAGTTAAAAAAAAATAAAGGATGGGAAAAGACAGACCATGCCAACACTGATCAAAGGAAAGCCAGAGTGGCTATGCTATAATCAAAGTAAATTATGGGGCAAATAACACTATTAGGAATAGAGGAACAGGGAATCCCTGGGTGGCTCAGCGGTTTAGGGCTTGCCTTTGGCCCAGGGCGTGATCCTGGAGTCCTGGCATCAAGTCCCACATCGGGTTCCCTGCATGGAGCCTGCTTCTCCCTCTGCCTGTGTCTCTGCCTCTCTCTCTCTGTGTGTCTCTCATGAATAAATAAATAAAATCTTTTAAAAAAGAATATATAGAACAGGGCACCTGGCTGGCTTATTGGTTAAGCATCTGCCTTCAGCTCAGGGTCATGATCCCGGGGTCCTGGAATCAAGTCCTATGCGGGGCTCCTTGCTCAGTGGTGAGTCTGCTTCTCCCTCTCCCTCTCCCTCATTCTCTCTCTCTCTCTCTCTCTCTCTCAAATAAATAATTAAATCTTTTTTAAAAAATGGCTAGAACAAGTAGAAAATCGGTAAGGATATAGAAGACCTAAACAACACTTTAAACCAACTTGGCCTAATTGGTATTTCCTAGAATACTCAACCCAACAGCAGCATAATGAATCTCCTAAGATTGGGAGGTATCTGTGTCTAGATGTGTGTTCAATGTCATGGGGCCAGGGGAGGTCACCTGGGGAGGACTGTTAGAACACGGAAGTGACCTGAAGACTGCATCGGGCCACTCCAACCTTTAGTTGGAACGGTGCCTGCCCGCCTGGCTCAAAGCTACTGGAAGGTCAAAATCCAAAATCCTTTAGGGGTAGGGAAGGGGGGGGTCCAGCAAAGGAGGTGGGGGGGTAGTTTGAAGAGGTGGGGGATCCCTGGGTGGCTCAGTGGTTTAGCGTCTACCTTCAGCCCAGGACATGATCCTGGGGTCCTGGGATTGAGTCCCACATCAGGCTCCCTGCATGGAGCCTGGTTCTCCCTCTGCCTGTCTCTCTCTCTCTCTCTCTCTCTCTCTCTCTAATGAATAAGTAAATTAAATCTTAAAAAGGGGGGGGGCAGGTGAAGGAAACATTTAAAGGGGATAGATAGGGGATCCCTGGGTGGCTCAGTGGTTTAGCACCTGCTTTGGCCCAGGGTGTGATCCTGGAGACCCAGGATCGAGTCCCACATCAGGCTCCCTGCATGGAGCCTGCTTCTCCCTCTGCCTATGTCTCTGCCTGTGTGTGTGTGTCTTTCATAAATAAATAAAATCTTAAAAAAAAAAATAAAGGGGATAGATAGGGCCCCCCTGTGTCCAAGCTGCCCTGCGGTCCAGCAAGATGAGAACAGATCACTGGATTTGGCCATGCAGATGCCAGCGACGCCCGGGACAGGAGCACTTGCTCGGGGATGTGCAGGAGCACCTGATCGTGTTCAAGGTAGAGTGAGCGCCAGGCCCACCCTTGCTCATTTTCAAGACATTTTGCTGGAAACGGCAGCGAAGAGGTGGAGGGGGGCGCGCCGGCAACCTGGCAGGGTTTTCTTTCCTTTTAAAGAAGATGCATTCGAGCAGGTTGGGCTTCGCTGGAAAGGATCCGGGAGACAGTGGGAACTGTCCCAGACCACATCTGGGAGCCAGGGGAGAATTCGGAGGTGATGCCCATGAGGAAGGATGGGGTCCAGGGCACGCAGGGAGCCGTGGCCGTGGTGGGGGACACAGGTTGTTCTTAGGTGAGAGAAGGAGCAGGACACCTCCGGAGAGGAGCACAGACAGCGTCGGGGCTGAGGCCCTGGGCGCGGGAGGGACCGTAACCCGCTGTCCTTACACGCAAACTTCCTAACCTCCCCAGTGGGCGGTGGGATGCAGGCCAGGCAGGCCACAGGCTGCCCTTCTCCTCTGGCCACTCCCACTGCTCGCTCTGTGGCCAGGGGGGCAGGCCCAGGTGACCTCGGGAACGGGAGCCTGGGGGCGCCCCCAGGACAGGTGCGCCGCGGGCGGGGGAGGGGCTCCCGGAGCGCGAGGTCTCCTCCGCGCCACCAGGGGGCGCCAAAGACCGCTCCGCCCGCTCGAGGCGCGGGCCCTGCGGGGGTGGGGGGGCCCCGACCGCGCCCAGCGCCGCTCCCGCCTCCAGGAGCCCGAGCAGGCTCCAGCCTCCTCCTGAGGCCCCTGGACGGAACCGCGAGGTGGGGGGGAGGCCCGGGATGAGCTCATGAGGAAGCTCACCTGCACGAGCGAGGGGCAGGTGCAGCCCGCCTGGCCCAAAGCCGCTGGAAGGTCAAAATCCAAAAGGTGCCCTGTGGCCTGGCGGCGGCGGCCCCTCCGCGGGCACCCGGTTCCCTGGCTCTGCTTCCACAGCCACTAACCAAGCACCTGCGTGGGGCCGGGCCCCGATGCGTTCCTGGAGGAATGAGCCATGGACCAACCACTGAATGAATGAGTGAATGAACGAATGAATGAATGAATGGGCAAGCCCACGATGGTACGTGGAGGCAGAGGAGGGGCGATCCCAGGCGAGGAGCGTGAAGCTGCAGGGCCAGCCGGGCTCGGTGCCACCCCGGGGTCGGGGGGGGGGGCTGATGGGGATGCACTGAACCCCCAGCGCGCACCTGAGCCACCCAGGGAAGAGGGGCGGGGGATGCACGCGATCTCCCCCGTGTACACAGCTCGCCGATTTCTGATAAGACACAAGCCGCCTAGCAGCAGCCACTATCCTCCATCAACTCGACCGGATTCTCTTTCCAGCACGCACCCCCCCCCCCATCCCGCGCTGCCCACTGACAAAGTGAAAGCAGCTCTTTTGTGGACAAGGGAAAGATGAGATGCGCAGGGGAGCAAGCAGGGGGAGAGGCCAGGCTCCGGTGGAGCGCCCCCAGCCGCACCCAGGGGCAGCTTGGAGGACACCGAAGGGGGCGGGCGGGGGGGGGGGCGCCAAAGGGGCGTCTCACAAGAGATCTCCCCCCTACAGCCCAGGGGCAGGGTAGTCAGGGGGGGGGGGGGGGGGGGGAGAAGGAATTTAGAGTGCTTGGCACCTGGGGAGAGTGAGCACCCCACCAACATTGCCTATTTTTATTATGTGTTAAACACACCAAATATCTTTTATAAAACAGAAGTGCAAGCACTTTGGGTCAAGGTATGAATCCTTGTAGATTGTTCAGATGTTTTTTGGTTTCCATCCTCTTAGAAATAACACTTTTGACTTTGAGCCTAGCACACAGAGCTGCAAAACCAAAGGCTGCGGCTCTGCTGCCCTGGCTCAAGGCCAGGTTGCAGCGTCTCTTGGTTGGATGCCCCAGTGGCTGCATCTCCAGGGGTCTCCCGAA